AAGGCATAAAAAGCTCTTAAAAACGACATAGTATAGTAAGGCATAACAAAGTCAAAGTACGTAGGTTAATCAGTTAGTAAGGCATAAAAAGCTCTTATAAAATACTATGCAGCATAAAGCATAGTCATAGTAACTAGTAAGGCATAAAACAGCCTTAAAGTACCATAAGTAAGCTAAGGCACTAACGAGAAGTCAAAAAATGACATAGTATAGTAATGGCATAAAACAAGTCATAGTCATAGTAACGGCCATTACAAAAAGGTCACCCGTAGAGGCATAAAAGCCATAGACACCCAACGTCAGTATAGGAAAGGCAAAAAGTCATGTATCTGTATAGTACAGGCATAAACATTCTGTAAAAACACATAGACCATACAAAGCAAAGTATAGTAAGGCCATAAAAGCAAAGATGACATGAGGTATAGTAAAAGTTCGACATAAACGCAGATAGTCATAAAGTCATCAGAAGGTCATAATATGGAGTAGCATAAAAGTCATTAAATGACATAGTATAGTAAGCGCATAAAATATAAAACATTAGTTAGTCTGAAGTTAGTATAGAGGCCATTAAAAAAGTCATAAAATCGTTCATAGTCTAATACGTAGAGGGCATTAAAGTCAATAAAAACGTCATACGTTATAGTAAGGCAATAAAACGTAAATATAAAACGTCATTAGTATACGTAAACCGACCGCCATAAAATAAGTCATAAGCTTACATATTGTAAGTGCGCATAAAAAGTTATCAAAATGTCATTATGTTATACGGTAAGGCATAAAAAGTCTTAAAACCCACGACATAGTATAGCTACAGCTATCATTAGGAAAAAGTCCATGGTTTATACGTAAAGGGCATAAAGTAAGTCAATAAACAACGTCATAGTATCAGTAAGGCATGAGAAAGGTCTTTAAAAAAAGACATAGTTATAGTAAGCGCATAAAAAAGTCCATAGTACTAGTGCTAAGCGCATAAAAGTTCATTAAAAATTCGACAATTCAGTGCGATAACTAAGCGCATAGAAAGTCATTAGAAACTGATATCAGTCATACGTAAGGGCATAAAAGTTCATTCTAAAAAGAATAGGCTATAGTAACCATAATAATACAGACATTCTATAGTAAGGCATAAAAAGTCAATAAAAAATCGCATATATACGTAAGGCATAAGAAAAGTCACATAACGTCATAGTATTAGTAAGGCATAAAAAGTCTAATTCATAGTATAAGTAAACGCATAAAAAGTCTTAAAAACCGACAATAGTATAGTAAGCGCATAAAAAAGTCAAAAACGGTTATTATATGTAAAGGCATTAAAAGTCTAATACAAAGTAATGTAGCATTAGAAGTATAAAGACATAGTATATGTCAGAAAAAAGTCATAGTATAAGTAAGGAAAAGTCATAAAAAGTCATTATAAGAAAGCATAAAAAGCTTAACGCATAGTATATAGTAAGGCATAAAAAGTCATAAAAGTCTAGTAGTAGGCATAAAAAGTCATTAAAAATGATCATATATAGTAAGGCATTAAAAAAGTCATCGTGACTAGCTAAGGCACTTAAAACGTCTGACAAACCATGCACATAAGGTATTAGTAAGGATAACAAAGTCATATAAAAACGTCATAGTATAGTAAGGCATAAAAAGTCTTAAAAACGACATAGTATAGTAAGGCATAAAAAGTCATAGTATAGTAAGGCATAAAAAGTCATAAAAACGTCATAGTATAGTAAGGCATGAAAAGTCATAGTATAGTAAGGCTTAAAAAGTCATAAAAATGACATAGTATAGTAAGGCTTAAAAAGTCATAGTATAGTAAAGCATAAAAAGTTTTAAAAACAAAAGTCATAAAATCGTCATAGTATAGTAAGGCATATAAAGTCATACTATAGTAAGGTATAAAAAGTCATAAAAACGTCATAGTATAGTAAGGAATAAAAAGTCTAAACAATGACATAATATAGTAAGGCATAAAAAGTCATAGTATAGTAAGGCATAAAATGTCATAAAAACGTCATAGTAAAGTAAGGCATAAAAAGTCTCAAAAATGTCAGTATATTAAAGCATAAAAAGTCATAGTATAGTAAGGTATAAAAAGTCTTAAAAATTACATAGTATAATAAGGCATAAAAAGTCAGTATAGTAAAGCATAAAAAGTCATAAAAACCACATAGTATAGCAAGGCATAAAAAGTCATAGTATAGTAAGGCATAAAAAGTCATAAAAACATCATAGTAGAGCAAGGTATAAAAAGTCTTAAAAACGACATAGTATAGTAAGGCATAAAAAAATCATAGTATAGTAAAGCATAAAAAGTCATAAAAACGCCAAAGTATAATAAGGCATAAAAAGTCTTAAAAACAACATAGCATAGTAAGGCATAAAAAGTCATAGTATAGTAAGGCATAAAATGTCATAAAAACGTCATAGTATAGTAAGGAATAAAAAGTCTAAACAATGACATAATATAGTAAGGCATAAAAAGTCATAGTATAGTAAGGCATAAAATGTGATAAAGGCATAAAAAGTCATAGTATAGTAAGGCATAAAAAGTCATAAAAACATCATCTTATAGTAAGGCATAAAAAGTCTTATAAACAACATAGTATAGTAAGGCATAAAAAGTCTTACAAACGTCATAGTATAGTAAGGCATAAAATGTCATAAAAAAGTGATAGTATAGTCAGGCATAAAAAGTCATAAAAGCGTCATAGTATAGTAAGGCATAAAAAGTCACAAAAACGTCATAGTATATCACGGCATAAAAAGTCAGTATAGTAAGGTATAAAAAGTCTTAAAAACGACAAAGTATAGTAAGGCATAAAAAGTCATAGTATAGTAAGATATAAAAAGTCATAAAAACGTCATAGTATAGTAAGGAATAAAAAGTCATAGTATAGTAAGGCATAAAAAGTCATAAAAACATCATAGTATAGTAAGGCATAAAAACTCATAAAAACTTCATATTATAGTAAGGTATAAAAAGTCATAAAAATGACAGTATAAGGTATAAAAAGTCATAAAAACGTCATAGTATAGAAGGGCATAAAAAGTTATAGTATAGTAAGGCATAAAAAGTCATAAATACGTCATAGTATAGAAGGGCATAAAAAGTGATATTATAGTAAGGCATAAAAAGTCATAGTATAGTAAGGCATAAAATGTCATAAAAACGTCATAGTATAGTAAGGTATAAAAAGTCATAGTATAGTAAGTCAGTAAAACGCCATTGTATAGCAAGGCACAAAAACTTCATAGTATAGTTAGTCAGTAAAACTTCATTGTATAACAAGGCATAAAAAGTCATCAAAATGTCTACGTATAGAAAGGCATAAAGAGTCATAAAAACGTTATAGTATGGTGTAGCATAAAAATTCATCAAAATGTCATAGTATAGTAAGGAATAAAAAGTCACAAAATCACCATAGTATAGTATGGCATAAAAAATTTCATAAAAACATCATAGTATAGTTGGGAATAAGAACCATCATTGTATAAATTGTCATAAAAATGTATCAGTATAGTAAGGCATAAAAAGTAATATAAAAATGTCCTAATATAGTAAGAAATAAAAAATTTAATGTAAACGTTATAGTATATTACGGCGTAAAAAATGTCATAACAATGTCATAATATAGTAAGGCATAAAAACCACCATAGTATAATAAGGCAGAAAAACATCATAGCATAGTAAGGCTTAAAAAACTTAACCAAAACATAATAGCATAGTAAGACATAAAAAATGTCATAAAAATGTAATAGTATAGTAAAGTACAAAATATGTCATAACGATGTCATAGTATTGTAAGACATAAAAAATGTCATAAAAACATCACAATATAGTTAGACATAAAAACGTTGTCATAGTACAGCACGACATATAAAATGTAACTAAAACGTCATAGGATAGTAAGTCATAAAAAATGTCACAAAAACATCAGTATAGTAGGGAATTAAAACCGTCATAGTATAGAATGTCATAAAAACGTCATAGTGCAGTAATGTGCAAAAAATGTCAGAAAAGCTTCATAGTATAGTAAGGCATAAAAAGGTCTTAAAATGTCATAGTGTAGCAAGGCATAAAAAGTCACAGTTAAGTAAGGCACAAAAAGTCAGTATAGCAAGGCATAAAAAAAATTATCAACTGTACATCCATATCCACATTGATACATATATGTTTATTTATGTAAATGTGAAGAATACTGAGCAAACAGTAGTGGCTTATGAAGACTGTGAGATGTGGTTGAAAGCTCAGAAAAATACAAGTAAACTGGACCTTGAGATATGCTGATATCATCACAATTTGACAAATTGTGATCAAGGAGTTACATCAAACTAAAACCTTCTTGTGTGAAACAAAAATATAACTGATGTCACAGTTTTCCGTAATGGACTGAATGTTTTGCTAAACTTGTCTTCTCAAGGTCAAGAATGAAGTTGCTATACTAAATCTTCTATTATCTTTTAGTTAGGGTTGCTAATTATTATCATCTTAACTGATCAATTGCTATGTCTTTGAAATGTCCAAAAACAGTTAGAAATGCCTGCAGGTTTGTCTGATGACATCTTTTTGACAGCCGAAGTTGACATCTTGAAATCTTGTTCACATCTTGTTTTGTCAGGCCCATAGTCCAAAACCCAAAAGATATTATTAAGATATAAGATATAAAATAATATCATTTGCACTTTCTAATTGTAGAGAAGCAATAAATGTTCATATGTGAGAGGCTGGAACAGTTGCCATTTTGCTTCATTAAACAGCTGTTACAATTAATGATTATCAAAACTAATGATAATTAATTTAGTCAGTGTATAACAATTAATCAACTAATTGTTTCATATTAGGTTTTTGTTAATCTTAAATATCTGAGACATTGAGCATCCTGGTTGATACGGCCAACTGAGAAAATAAATGAAACTGAGGCTTAAAGTGATGCTGAATGATGCTGTTTAAAGTAATTGAAAAACAGAGAAAAGACAGACAAGTGACATAATATCTGATGTAAGCTTTACTTTCAAATCCTGTTACATTTAGATCTGGCAAGTTGAACATAAAATAATGCCAAACAAAGGAAACAAATACAAAACCAAAAAAGTACAAATGATCTATTTACCAGTTATCGTCACAACCCTGTACAGCCTTAACAATGGAGTAATAAAAAAAAGCTTTGTACAGCACATACCAATCTTTACCGAGTGCCAAAAGATAAGATAGTTGAGCCTTTTCTAATCATAAAATACAGCCAAACTTAAAGCTAACTGATTGTAGGACAGTGCAGGGTGATGCTAACTAAACGCAACCAAGGGAGTTAGTTTTAAACACAATTAAGTGCTAAAGAACTAGAGCGAGGGCAATGTCATGCATACTCTGAAGTGCTGAAAAGGTAGTCAAGCTTTAAAAAAAGTCACTGTGCTGCTTACAATTGGGGGAAATAAACAGAATAAGTGCTTAAGAATACTGTTTTTCAAAAGGATAGAGCCCTGTTGCCTTTTTAAATGTTACACTCAAACTAAGGGGACATAAAGAAGTGCAGCCATTCATGATTATGTTGTATTAAAAGGCAGACATTTTAAAAAGGTGTCAAGAGGAGACACATTCTTTTTTTTATCTTTTCATCTTTTTTCTTTTGGACCCTGACAATTAGTTTGACTTATTCTCAGAAGTCTCAGGTGGTTTCCTTCCACCAAGTGGCACTAGAGTATAAAAGATAACATAGACAGTACAAGGAGAGTGTGTGTCTGTGTGTGTCTGTGTGTGTGTTAGAGGGATGCTCCTTTCACTCCAGAGACAGCATGCCAGACATTGACAGAGCAAAAAGGAACAAACAAACAGCAGTGTAAAAGGTGGGGGACAATTGAGGCATTGCTCCAGAGCAGGATGTGACGGATTCAATCCTAACATCACATCCTGCTGCGAGTTACATTTTGGTCTTGACAATTCATGTTCTCTGTCCAATCAACATTTTTTTTGATAAGATTTAAGTAGAAAAATAAAAAAGCAACAATGATTCATTAAAATAAAATGCATGAGTAAAACAGACAAAAGGAAACGATAAAGAAAATTAAAAAAAAACAATCCCTTTACAAATAAGGGATATTGGCTTGAAGACCACTTAGGAACACAAGCACTATTAATAACGGGTAAAGCTTTTTCAAAATAAAATGCTTGTACTATGCTGCCCCATCTCGCAAAACATACTTCTTTTTGAGCATTTTACGGATAAATACATATTCTCATAATCAAAAAGTGCAGCACTGTGCAAAATTGGCTATCACAATTTAGCCTGGGACCTTTAGTTCCCAGGGAGAGCTTAACCTCTACTGTCTAATTCATGCAATTTGTATTTACTTTCTCCAATTTCACAGAGGCAGACCCTTTTGCACCACTAGAAATGCCTACACGTGAAACTGAGGGATGTTGATTGAGTAATTTCCAGCAACTATTGTCTACTTCACATTATAGTGACATGGTGGATCTAAGTTTGCACTTTAAAACAAAAAGGAAAACGAAAGGTTTAAGTGCTTTTGGCTTGAAGTGTAACTACATTAAGTGCAATTTAAACTCAAAAGGTTGACAGGGGGGAGGGTAGGGTAAAAAGCAGTACCATGTCAGCCGGCCTAACAGAAGCCAGTGCCATTGAACACAATGCTGTACAAGTGAATGGCTTTGCTTCATCATTGCACCTACAGGAGCTTTTTCTCTCAATGGGTGCTCTATGAATGTTAGTAGAAAATGTTTTATTATGATGTAAAAGGCTCAGTAAAAAAAGTAAAAATAAAAAAAACAAAAAAAAACAAAACAAAAATGAAACAAAAGAAAAAGACACAGAAGGCCACCAAACACACTAACTTTCCTGCCTTTACCAGCACAGAAGACGTCCCTATTCACACTTCTGTATCGCTTCTTTTTCATGTACATAAACAAAAATACATTCATTCAAGTCATTTTGGAACAGTTTTTTTCTTTTTTTTTTGTACACAAAAATTACAAAAAGCTCCAAAAAGCACCATTGAATCGGCCTGTGGTGACCCTGGCTGTGGGTAGCTCGCTAACCCAGAGCTAGTCACCTCCACAAAACAGTTATCTCATATATCTCTTCTAAGTATAGGTGCGTGATACATAGTTCTGCATATGAAGCTGCGCCGATATCCACCTGGTCTCAGAAATAATGAATTAATATTTCAGTCTAGTCACGCGTTAGTTGTCTGTAGGATTTCACTGCTTATTTACCTGTGAGTGCAAATGCATTGGCAACATTTTACATTTATATTCAAATCAAATTGTTAGAAATAAATGTATGTTTCTTGTCATGGAAGGTCAGATTGAATATTTTTCAATTTACATATTTGAATATTTACATCATCACAGCTTATTTCCTGTATTATGAGCTTACAAAAAACAATCAAAATTAGTTAGTGACCCATTTAAATTACATTTATTCTGAGACAGAGGTGTCATCAGGCAGCAGCTATGCATAATATGGTTTCACCATTATACAAAAAAACCAACAAAAATCAAAAAGATGGGAGGGGGAAGGGCTACAAAACTATGTACAAGATTGATAAATAAGTAAGTGCGTGGTTTGAGGCGTTGCTTTGGAAACGTGCCTTTTTCAATGAAAAGCATGCCGTTTCATTGGTTCTGTCGCACCGCTAACACTTCAGGATATCTCGAATTTAGCTTCCTAATGACGTCAAAGCTAGTTGAAACACAGAAACAGGCATGCTATTTCGATGCATAATAGCAATAGACAAAAATGCACTAAAATATAGCACTTGCAAGTTTTGTTTCGTCTTTTTCAACTTTTTATCTCGTCAAATGACTAAAGAAAAATATCTATAAAACTGAGATACGTTAGTTTCCTCAGATAATGCAACTGGGTCCAGGTCATTCAGACGTTTAAAAACAGAAAATAAAAGGTAATAGAGAGTAGTAGTTGAAGTAGTAATAATTCAATTGATAGAACTGATAAGAAAAGCAGCTTTTTGATATAAATGCATTTTTAGCATGTACAGCCTTTTTCTCTTATAAATGTTTTTTTCTTTTCTTCAATATGTTTGTCTGGTCCAGCTTATTCTGCTGGTCTGATTGGAAAAGATGTTGCTCCCACTGCAGTGGTCAAGTGTCATTCACACCACTGTCCAAGGAGTGAGGGAAAGAGCGAGGAGAGGAGGAGGAGGTGGGCGAGGTCAAACAGTTTTGGCCCTCTCCATCAGTCCCAGGTAGGCCAGGAAGGAGTGTTTGTGGGAGGTGGGTGAGGGGGGAGAGCGGGAGGGGGAGGCCGAGTTGGAGGAGAAGAGGAGAGGAGATGTGGCGGGCCGCCATCTGGAGTGGAGGTGCGAGTGGAATGTGAAGCGGCTGTTGTGGGTGAACAGGGTGGTGAGGGGGATCAGGTGCGCCCGATCGCAGTTCCTGTACTGCTCGAACACGTGGCGGGAGGAGGGGAGGAAGAGGGAGGGGCTGCCGCTGCTCAGACCACCGGGGTTTCTGGTGGCGTCGTTGCCATTAGTGCTGACCAAGCAGTGCAGAGGGCCTTTGGGGTCCAGCTGGTGGGACTTGCCCAGCGTGAGTGACAGGGCAACAGACTGGAGCGCCTGGGACGCTGTTAGACTCATGAGAGGGCTGTTACTCCCACTCCCTCCACTGCTCCCTCCTCCTCCACTGAACAGGAACTTCTCCTGGCTCTTCTGCAGTGACGAGCCCCCTGGCGATGTTCCCTCGAGAGACAGCTCCTCCTCTCCTGCCTCCTCATCTTCCTCCTCTTCTTCCCCTCCTCCTCCTAAGCCTCCGTCCAGTCCCCCCACTCCTCCACTCTGGTGTTTCTTGAGGTGGCGGCTGAAGACAAAGGGGTGTGTGGTGGTGAAAGGGCACTCTTGGCAGCCAAAAGTCTGGCGCGGCGCATGCTTCAGCTTCTTGTGCAGGTTGAGGTTGTCCTTGCGCTTGCAGCTATAAGAGCAGCGGTCGCAGTGGAAGGGCCGCTCGCCCGTGTGCACACGCACATGCTCGATCAGCTTATTGGCCGTCTTGGACAAGTAGCCACACTGCTCACACTTGTAGTGGTTGCCCAGGCGGTGCCCGCGCATGTGGGCCTCCAATGAGGCCTGGTCGGGCCACAGTCCCTGGCAGATGCGGCAGCGGTACTCCATCTTACAGTGCGTCTTAAGGTGGCACTCCATGGCCGCTGGACGATTGGTGGAGTAGATGCAGAAAGGGCACCTGGGTAATGTAACAAAAAGGAAGCAGGGAGGGAGGACACAACACACAAAAAGCAAAGGACAGTTGTAGGCGAAGTGTACTTTCAAAAGCACCTAACACAACTTGAAATTTAATAACACAAAATGATGAAGAGGAGAAGGACAGATAAAGGAAAAGTGTGTGTCATGTACAGTTCTGTGTGCTCATGGTGGTATGTGTGGCAGTTTAATGATGGGAAAATTGAGGTGATCAGGTATGTGTGTGTGTGTGTGGGAGGGAGGGGGGTTGACAGGCTGGAGAAAAGATTGGAGCAGTAGGACATGAAGGGAAATGAAGGAATGGAGTGGCACTTACATTTAAATAGCACCTTTCATCTGCTCTGGGCCCCAAAGCGCTTCACAAACCCTGCAGAACAGAATCACCTCAGAAAAACCTCGAAATGGTCAAGGCCCTCTCTCCCTTTCTACACACTCCTACATATATAAAAAACACTTCACATTGCTCAAGTGTATACACGTGTACACACTGGACTGGGGAAAAAAAATCTTGGACTTGGGGTCAGAAAATGTCGGCAATTTGCCCTTAATGTCCGTTAACTTTTTCTACTCATGTTTGGCAAAATCCTGCCTGCTTTTGTTTGTAAATATAAATGTGGTTTACATAAATTAAGAGACTGTGTAAACCTTGAAAAATTGAAAATATAACCAACATGTGCAGATATAAACAGTACAGCAAAGAAGTTTAGTTAAAGCAGATTTAGTAAAGTTAAATATATTAAAAAAATACCAGAAGAGCTCAGTTCTTCCACCTCTTTTTCCTTCATTGAATGAAAAGAATCTAAAATAGAAACTACCTATTTCTTTCCCTATTGAATGGTGGCTTACATAAATCAATCTGGCTTTAAAAACATTCACACCAGACAGAAGAAACATTTAAAACTTTTACAAAAAAAATCTTTTACATTTATTCACTGAAACACTATAGCTAGCAGGAGGTCCTCAAGTTAATGACTAAAAGATGCTGTGTGGATATCTTTAAGGTATGGAGGGGGCTTATTGTGTGTTATTATCCACAGGATTTGTATAAAATAGTAGTCAGTGTAACTTTGTTGGCAACTGCCTGGTTTACATTCAGTGAAATGCTAGCATTTCCAGACATTTAACAATGTTGAGAACATCCTAACTCCACTGATGGCTGCACAGAAAAAAGATGTAGAACACAGATCTTTGTTTATGACAAGATGAGGCGATCGTCATAATGACACTCAATGGTTCTGCACATGCACAGACTGGAGTTATGAGAACAACTCAAAAACAAAAAAAAAATGGTTTGTGTTACTTGAAATGAACCATAACCCATGAAGACCAGATGTGACATATGCGTGTTTAACAAAATGTCCTACTTTTGTGATTTCTTTCTTAAAAGTTTAGGGAAATGTTTTCATGTGTAGAAGCTTTTTCATCCCTGTGCCACCCTGAAACTGTGCGTTTATACATTACTGTGACAAGACTAAAGCGTCATCAGTGTGTGTTGTGGATGTTGAGGTCAACAGATGGACTTTACGTTAGCTTGACAGGCCTGAAATGGGACATAAACGTGTCACAGTACAACAAAGGCTCCTGTGGGACTGGAGTATGGAGATGGAGAGGGAAGCATGTTAGGAGACTAAAGCTAAAAAAAAACAGTCAATATTTGAAAAAGGCTGCCTTGAGCTACAGCAGATAACTGTGTCCAATATGCAGATGCATGTGTATTTGTCCATATATTTGTATATGTAGGGGTCTGAAGTGGTTGGGATGCAAACTATAGTGTGAGCTTTTCATTAGGGTCATGATTTTGAAATAATGCATGCTGTGCATTATTTGTGTGAATGTGCAAGCTTGAAAGCGTGCGTTAGCTTTGTTGTACATACATTTGGACTGACTTGTCAGTTTCCAGTCTATGATGTTACAGATGTAGCTGATCTGACATTTGAGCTTATGGCGTGCATTTGCTTCTAAATGATTATTTTCTAGGAGTGTGCCAACAAATTTTATATAATACACATGGGTTTCTGGAATGCAGGTTTCATCAAAAAAAAAATTTCTTTGGCATGGCTGTTAGCTGTGGGCAGTGGAACAACAGACCCTTAGGGGAAGCCCATTTCCGTTCTACTCTTCCTTATGTTCAGAGCAGCCACTGCAGACCCACAGACCACTATCTAATAAGTTCTACTTGCCAAGAGAGACTGTCCAGAAAAACTACAGCTTGTATCATTTCATTTGCTGGCTGCAGATGAATGTTTAAGTGAGGTTAACTGATTCAGGACACCCAGTTATAATAATCTTCAAATAGACCATGTATCTGTGTATCCTTGTTATAAATGAAAGTTTAGGGGTGTCATCTGTATGACTGTTACAGTCAGCTCCTAATAAAAACGGACCAGAATAATGTCAGCCAGTTTTACGCATATGAAATTATGCATCTTTATGTCCCCTAAAGTTATTTTACATGCATTATTGAACGTATATAAAATAAGTTAAACTGTGCATGTAAGATAATAACTGAAACCATTGTGAGATCCCTGAAACTCATAAGTGGCTCAACATTAATATTAGTAGTTTTTACCATTATTGGACTGAAGCCAAATTCAAATCTTCTGTAACCAGCACACCTCTAGCATTGGTCTATGAATGTGTATAAACTGTATGTGTGTGTTTTTGTGTGCAGTGAGTTGAAAGGGTGAGGGGTGAGGGAGGGGAAGGACGGGCGGAGTTAGGAACCTCTGTCTGTACTTGCTTTCCTTACTTGAGCCCTCCGGAGGGGACGGTGTGGCACTTCTTGTGCTCCAGCAGCTGCTCAGGCGTCTTGAGGAACTTGTGGCAGACGTCACACTCAAACATTCGCGTGATGAGGTGGATCTGGAGGTGCCGCTCGTACATGCTACGCGTCTTGCACACAAAATTGCAGAAGACACACTCGAAGCCTGGAGAGAGAGGATGAGAGGGTTGGTTAAGAGTCTGTCTGTCTGTCTGTCTGTTTTTTTTTTTTTTTTATAAATATGGTGATTTTGTTTGGCAGTCTGGTTGTACTCTTAAGACTCAGCAAGACCGTTACACATTTGTAGTCTTCACGCGCAACCCTAGACAACCTCTATGACATTATCAGGGTTATTTCAGACTTCAGAAAACTCCTCCACAGCAACACAAGTCACTGTACAACTGTTTTAACAGCCTGAGAAGTACTCCGCATCACTAGTAAATGGACCTTCACGTGTAAAATTGGTGGAGCGCCCCTTTAAGTTGCTTAATGGAAGAAGAAAAATCATTCACTACAGCCTGGATTAGGCCACATATGTATACAATTAAGTGAATGAAGTCAGCATGTAATGTCGTCACTTCAGACTCTTTTGCAATGTTCTGCAACTCCTCTGGATTTATGGGTATATTTTTGAATGACAGGATTTGTAGTGAGTGATCCCTTGTGTCCTTACTTGACGCCCATCTTTGTTTTTTTCACCCTGTTCCAACAGCTTTCTGACCAAAGAGCACGTGTTTAGTCTTAGTGCAGCTCCAAAACACGAGGGGAATTATACTTTGGACAGGAGACCCTAAAAACTGAAAACTGTTTCTTATTATGAGGGATGGGACCCTACATGGACACACTGTGTTTAGTTTAGAAAACATTTTAGTTATTTCACATAAGAGAAGTCTGGTTTAACGCTGACGGGGCCAGTTAGGAAAAGTCGATTTTACTATATGTACAAAATTTGAATTGAAGGGGTTGTTCAATCACTTTTAATCAAATCTGATCTCAGTCTTGATGAAGCAGATTATGAGTGGAAAGTGTGAAACGTTACCTAAATGATATGAATATTTAATCTTGTAGAGAAATACTTGAAATTAGAATTTAAGTTTTAGAAGTATTTAAAATGATAAAGTGTAATTGGCTGGTTTCTTGCCTTTGTCAGACTTGTCCTCAGTTCCTGATCCTGAGTGGCTTCCGGAGCTGGACTGGCTGCCTGCGGAGGAGGGCGGGGCGAGCAGGCTCTTGAGTTCTTCGTTACTGTGGGTGAGGTCTCCACCCTCTGAGCTGTTGAGTGAATCGCTGAGGGCCGACAGGGATGAGGAGGTGCTCTTGGTCTCGCTGAGGGGACTTCTTGAGTTCAGACCTGGACACATGAGGACAGAAAATAAGAAATCTTTATCATTACAATTGAAAAACAATGTTGGGGAAAAACTATTAGCTCCAAATCTAAAGAAAAACCCTGGACAAAGATATTAAAAAAAAACAAAAAAAAAAACAAAAAAAAAAAACCTGCAGAAATCTGTCGCAAGATCCTCATCATTATGTGCATCACACACTGACATACACACAAACAGAATACAAGCAGGCAGCCTCGATAGTCCTGTGCTCTGACTGACGCCCGGCTGCCAGTCCAATCAAGATGCAGTGTGCTTTTATTGATCCCCTTCTCTAAGTCTGCAATTCACTGAGAAGAGAGAGGGAAATAGTAGGGGAGGGGGCGAGAGCGAGGGGTGAGGAGCGCAGGTCATGGCCGAAGGAGCTAAGATGGCGGGAGCATCTCAGGGCACAGCTCAACAAAGGGCATTCACTCAGGAGGGAGTGAAAGGAGGGAGAAAAGGCTGCACGGATCCTGAAATGGTTGACTTTTTAATACAGGCACACACTCACACACACGAGACTGAGACAAAACATACAGGAATGTACACATGCTGTGCACATAATATTTCATAGAAGAAATTATACAGTAATAGAAGACATGATTAACTGCCTTCAGTCATATCTAAATATACCAGGGTCATTCGCAGCACAGTCTTAGCTACAGTCTGAATATAGTATTGAACCATCTTGAGGAAGCTTTTATCTCCTGTGCTGCAGTATTTAACATCTACTTGCCTTCTCTTACAATATCCAAAAGGTTAATGCCACAGAAAGTAAGCAAAAGGAGAAAAAAAAAAAAAGGAAAAAAAAAAGACGCTGCTGTGAGCCAGTGGGCCTCGACCTTGAAATATACCTCAACTAAAAAACCTTCCAACTTCTCTTTTTCCAAAGAGCTTCATCTGTTACCGTACAGCAACATTCATGATTTAGGAACAAAAATAAAGAAACAGTCAGTCTTCCAGAGAATTCAGGGGCAGATATCAAGGAATACAGTCACATAATTCACCACCTTCCTCCCCCTGCTGAGAAGGGCACCCAACCAACCCTCTTCCCTGTGCAGAGTCCAGGCTTCACAGGGGGTCAGCTTGAACTATAACACCTGCTGAGTTCAGCCATCTCTTGCCTGGGCGTGTCCACACAGTTGACCAGATAACTAGGCTTTTACAGTGCTTTATCCACCCGACCCTCTGAAGTTTAGACACTTTAACAAACAGGGCTGGACCATGACAAATTATTTAAATCCCCACACATGGATGGTAAGATGTGTGTTTATAAAGTTTAAGCTGACAATGAGCCACACATTTGTGTGTTTGGTGGTGGTGGTGGCCATCTTGTGCGAGACTGAGATAAATGCCAAGCCTGGCTGAGAGACTTAAAAGATGGCCACAGTGGCATCGTAAACCCAGCTCGTCTCCAAAGGACCCAAGGCCTATTGATTTTTTTCCCCTCAGGCACGATAAGGGCCAACCTTCTCAGATAAACAAGGCCACTGTGGCCTCTGAAAGACCCCTCAGCTGTCTGGGCCGGACAATCCCACCCACCCACACATACACACAAGAAGCAAACACGCACAGACACATGCACATTGAGGAACAGTGGAAGAACAAAACGTCAGCAATAAACTGGACAAAGCTGTTTTAGACAAAAACACTCATATCGACCACCAGGGGTTCAGACCGGCAGCTTTAAAAGTCCAAAGGAGGGCGACTGGAGGAGGCTTGTTTGTGAAACCCAATTCTACTGCTTGTCTTTCCCTGTGTCCTCTGAACTGATCCTGAACTGTGTTTTTATGAAGTGTAAATTACTGTTACATTATGATGTTGTGACTTCAAACAGTCTTTGCTGATTCCCTTTCATATAATGTATTTGGAGAGTGACACATTTTTTGTTGTGTTGGTTTTGTACTCCAGAAGTACACTGGATTGAAACCAGGAAGTTACTTAACTAGCAATGATAAAGATACATTTTATTATACAAATCACTGATACCAGCCCGTCTAATGTGATTTTTCGCTGCCTTCTTAGCCGCTATAATAGTGAACTGAATATCTTTAGGTTTTTGTCTGTTGGTTAGAAAAAACAAGCAGAGCATATAATTTTTAAGCATAAATAACAAGGGTGGTGTGATGGGCATTTTTCACTATTTTCTTTCATTTTATAGACCAAAATGATTAATCAGTTAATATAGAAAACATTCAGTAGGTGATGAAATTAATCAATAGCTGCAGTTCTAAATGGATAAACAACAGGTTTTCGTCCTACTGTGCTGTTCGAAAGTTGAGCCGAATAGGTATAAAAGCTGCTGTGAAACTTAAAACCCTTAAAGCTGAAAGTCAGCTCTTTAACCTCAGCCATTGTTTAAATTTAAACCCTGTGAGTTTGAGTACAGAGCCAAAACAATAGAAAAAGTGTCACTGTACAAATACTGCACTGTATTTCTATTCTGAGCTGTGAACAAGAGCCACAATGTGTAAGCTACCACCCACTCTAACATGTGAGAGTAATTTTGAAAATAACTCACAATAAATCATTTTTCTAGGGGTTGAATCATGTACTTTTGCTACTATCCAGCAGTACATGTTTGGGAACCCTGCAAGAACAGCAGGAAGCAAGAACATTACACCAGAGCTGAAATTTAGCAGTTGATTAATCGATTAGTCAACTGACAGGAAAGTCTAAATCAGCAACTCTTTTGATAATTAATTATTCAATTAAGATATTTTAAAGTAAAAAAAGCCTCAGCATAGAATAAACAGCATATATTAGGTTGTGAAATGCTGGTTGGAAAAAAAACGACACCTTGGGCTTTAAGAAATTGTCACAAGCACTTTTCTAACATTTTATAGACAAAATTGATTACCTGAAAAAATAATATGCAGAATAATTGATAATGTTCATTTCAACCCTACATTCCACCGACACATATCAGAGAGGATTGATCGATCATTGATGCTGTCACTCAGAATCAGTGAGCCGCCAATAAATATGGAAGAATCTGTACCTGCATGTCCGGTACTAATGTGGTTCTTCATGTCATTCTCTTCCATGCAGACGTAGTCACAGACACTGCAGCAGAGTGAGAACATCCACTGCTCCTTGTCCACATGGAGCGACATGTGGCTGACAAACTGGGCGTTCAGCTCTGTCTGGAAACCACACACATGGCAGCTGGACAGACAACAGAGTGGAAAAGGAAGGAGGATGGTGAGAATGAGAGGGGGGGGGCACTCAGCTTTAGTGTCACATTATGTTTGCATTAATTGTTATATGGTATAAAGTGGATACATTTATTTTACTCTGATAAAGATTACTAAAAAAAGCCCATTAGTTCTGCAATGGGGAAATGGCGAGAATTAACTCTTACACATATAAGTATTAAAGTAATAGCATGACACTTTTGGGAAATACACTTATTCGCTTTCTTGCCAAGAGTTAGATGAGAAGATCAATACCACTCTAATGCCTGTACAGTAAATATGAAGCTACAGCCGGAAGACTGTTAGCTTGGTTTATCATAAAAAACTGGAGGCAGGGAGAAACAGCTAGGCTGGGTCAGTCTCAAATTCAAAATTCATCCATCAACACATCTAAAACTAAATAATGCGTCTTGTCATCACTGTGAGGAGATGTTATTTTTGGGAGGCAGATTTTTTTATATATATATTTGGACTGAGCCAGGCTAACTGTTTCCCTCACTTTCAATCATTATGCTAAGCTAAGCTAATTATCTCCTTACTGTGGCTTTAAATTTAAAGAAAAGATAAAGAGTGTGATATTGACTTTCACATCCAACTCTAGGCAAGAACACAAATAAGCACATTTCCCAAAATATCCAACTACTCCTTTAAGGCCAAATAACTGACTCACAAAAACAGAAAATAGAAAACTGACTAATAAAACACAGCAGTTCTGGGGAAATTAAATAAAAATATATATCAATATTCAATTGGACGTTAAGCAGCATCAAAAATGCTGTGATCAGGTTCAGTCCTGATCTGTGATCCTGGCTTGATAATCCCTAAACAGAGGCTGGTGTGGTGTTTTGGTCTGTTATTACTACCTGTAGTAGTAAGGGCAGTTCTTGCGCTCAGCAGAGTCGGCTGTAATAGCGCTGACGATCTGCTCAGCGTCCGTGTTGACCAGCTTGACAGAGTGGATGGTCAGGTGCTGATTGAGGTTAGCCCTGCACTTGGCTGCGTAAGGACACAGGTGACACTTGTACTTCCTCTCTTCTGCAACACAATACACACAGACATAAGACCCCGGGTTACTGTAAATTACCTCCAATGATATTTCATTAAGTTGTGCTCAGCCACTGAGCCTTTAGAGAAAGCTTAAACCTAATTACTTAATGCCTAACCCCACCTCACCTTCACCTGACCCAGCTGTAACTCTGATCCCGAGTAGAGGAAGAAATGTCTGATAAAATCAACTTTTCCGGGTACCATCTGGATGTCACAAGATGGTAATAATTTGAGACGTGTATGAACATAATTTCACCTCATTTTTGTGCAATAAAACATCAAATAAAAAAAATAAAAAAAATAAAATGCAAAAACACAATCTTCCCTTTTATCCCAAAACAAATCAACATAACAACACATCATCTCCCTCTAGCTCCCCCCTCAAACACACACACACACACACACACACACACACACACACACACACACACACACACACACACACACACACACACCATTTGCCCCAAGGACATGGAGCCAGGCAACCTTTATGTCGCCGGGGAAACCAAAAAGACCATCACACTGACATATGCCCCTGCTTCTGCTCTCTGTGGTGTGGCCAAGCTGTTCACAGCCAACACTCTCAGATGGTGTGTGTATGTGTGTGTGTGTTGTGTAGTGTGTGCATGCAAAACGCGAGACCATGTCCAATTGTGTGGGGGCATTTCATACACGAGTCTCCATTTGTGCAGTGAGTGATTTGGTCCACTATCCCAAGTAGGTTGTATTAATTTCTAATGCATCGTTAATTTGCTTTAAATAAAACTGTATTCATTCATTTTTTTTCTGAGAGAGGGATTATGGAAGACAGCGATGGGGTAGAATGGATCAATTTGGAGCAAAGAACGGGCAAGTTTAACAAAAATGCAGTGTAATCAGGAGAGTGAAGAGTTTACAGCTTCATCCTGAGGAAGTCTCCAATGTCTGTGAGTGTGAGAGAGAAAGTGAAAAAGGGAACCAATCGGAGCTGCATCAGAATTACTGGTGTGTGTGTGTGTGTGTGTGTGTGTGTGTGTGTGTGTGTGTGTTTGTAGATACTCCGTGAGGCATCCTTCTAGCTGGGTAATTAGACGGGCTGTTTTCCCAGTGAGACTAATCATGGTAGTAATCTCTTTAAAGGAAGGGTAATCTAGTCTAGTCAACCTTATTTACTTACTGTGAGCAGCAAAAACACATGCACATGTGCACAAACACAACCGCTAACATCTATACACTAACAAAGAAATGCAAATGTAGAAGCCAGTGTGCGCCAGTGGAGTGCACATACACTAACAATATGGTTGTGTATGTGTGTGTTTATTTACCTGTGTGTAGTGACAGATGTCTAGAAAGAGTCTGCTGTCTACCAAACACCTTGCCACAGACCGGACAGGGGAAGAGCTGTTCATTTAGTCTCCACTGGGCAATCCCGTTTCCTGGCTCCCCATCATCCTTTTCTGAGTCTGGAACACACACACACACACACACACACACACACACACACACACACACACACACAGGCACAGGAAACCATACTCATCATTTACTGCTGATACAGTCATCCACAAAAGCATCTGCAGATAAACCAAAGGCTGTGAAGTCAAGCTCCCATAAATCAAACAAAGTAACTTAAATTCAATATGTATTGATATCGAAACCGTAACACACTGCTGTGGTATGTGCTCATGTCCTGATGGACATTTTCTCTGAATTAACATGTAAATTTGGTCTTATTTATTTTATTTAAGGGGACGGAGGAGGCGAGTAAATGCAATAAAGGTCAGAACCAGACTGGGGAAAGTTGTGATCACATGTATGCGTCTTAAACACTAGGCCACAAGGATTCGCCCATTTCATCCATCTTTAATGAGATTTATCACCAGTAAAACAGCTTCAACAACACAATACAGGACATGTCTTGTCTTCTCCATTCATATCTCCTTAAACGAATAAAGGAATAATTCAACATACCCCCCACCAAACGACAAAGTGTTGTTTTTATACTTTGTATGTGTTACTTAGAGAATTTAAAGGTATTGGTAGGTCAATCCATTCTGTTATCTGGAGCATGAGTAGTTGGCACACATGCTATGCGTACAGTCTGCGTGATCACAAATTTTGGGTTGCACATGAATGTCCTTCACACAGACGTGTAAAGGATAAATTGGCCTTTAATGTCAACAACAAGCACTTGTCCCTCGCTCTAAAGCCTCCTTTCCTTCGCTGCCCCATAGGCTAAGAAATAAAAAGACTGAGTGTGAATGTTTTCGGACGCTGTGAGAGACTCTGAAGAATAGACGTTGCTGTTAAACCTCACGATATGAATATATCATAGAGCAATTCACAAGGAAAACATATGTAATACTATTTTCATTGTGCTGTACAACTTGTTAAGAAAGAGGGAAGATTTTTACTTGTTATCTAAACTGTTGCGAGAATATGCTACACAGACTGACCTTAGCCAAAACTTCTGTATATGCAAGGCATAAAAAAACACAGTAAAAAGACTGTAAGTCTGAGTTTTATTTTTAATCTTCATAAGTGTTGGAAAAACTCTGCTGCTGTTTTGGTTGTTTGCAGATGGATCATATAAGTTTGACAGTTCTGACTTTACAAAAGAGACAAGATGAAAAAAAGCAATGTAATCTACAGTTTATATTCAACAACAACTTATGGTAGCTTCATGCAATCACATTTTACCATTGAAAGGGCTTTTCTTTTTTAAAGTTGCCCTATAAAATACAGTGTAGCCGATTGACGAGGTATTAGTTGGGATTTGAATACCACAATGAGGAAAAGCAAAGGATGTTTTCTGGTATTTTAGGACAGGTTTTATGGCAAACGTTTAAGAAGGTGTTGTGAAAGGACATTTTACTGTTGTTGCTCTGACTCACAAACCCTTGAGCACTTTTTTCTGTATCTACTTCACATATTTGATCCTATCTTTGCCTTCTGCATGCAAACCAGTGAATTTATGTTGTGTAACTTAATTTCCTTTTAGTTGTGTCACACCATCCCTCACAGATATTTTCATAACTGTCAAAGCAAAACACACCTCATTCAGTGTGATTCAAGCACAAATTATGATTATTTTGAATTTGAATTTTGAATTTAAATTATTCTTTTAAATAAAGATGAGTGGCTACTATATAATAAAATATATAAAGTACCTTTTATTTATGCTCTGAAAGAGGGAGAGAAGAATAAGGGCACGATGCATGTGGATGAGCAATAGGTATCTTATTTTGTAATTTAGGTAAGGTATGTACCACAGCAGATCTATAATTAATCAAACACAAAATCAGATAGTTGTCTAAGAAATACTAAATTTGTTCTGAGGGGAATAACCCAGCTATCATAACTTGTAGTTCTGAAATAATATATTTTTAAGAACTCAACTCTCAGGAGATGCACCAAGTTCAAACTACATTTGAATTTGTAATGATTACACAATAATTTCAGAATGTTCTTTCTGAAAAATTTAGTTTCCAAGACACAAGAAATGGACGCAGAAATCTGCTGGTGCACATCAGTTTCACCTGAGGCTGAAACGAAAAGTCAGTTAATCAGTTGACAAACTAAAATATTTTGATTAATTAATCATTTAAATTGATTTTCAAGCAAAAATCCAACATTCATTGGTCATTTGGTTTACGTTCAGGTAGGACAAAACATGATGTCTCCTTGGCATCAAAATAGTGACCTGTTTTTTTTTCCCCTACTATTTGTAATGTTTTATGTACAATGCAACTAAACAATTAAAAATAAATCATCAGATTAATCAATACTGGAAATAAATGTTAGTTGCAGTTTTAACCGTCCTGTTGCCATCCTCATGTGAGTCCTGTCTGCTGTAGGTCTGTGACCCACCACTGTAACAAGGGTGAGTGAGGGCATGTGTGTGATGGTAAAGGCATGCAAGTTGAGCAGTGTAAAGCAGCACTTGCCTTTAAACTAAGTAAGTAATCAGTCGACCTGCAGGTCATGAACTCCCTGATCCTGTGCATCAGCTGGAATCTGCCTCTCACCATGACGGCAGTCTTGATATCTGACCATGACGGCTATTCACACTGTTTATCTCTAAACTTGTTGTCACTACACGGCTTATTCTGAGAATCCAAGACCTTCTTATGGGGCTTGTAGGTAAAGCTTAGCACATAAAAGCATTAACTGGTCCTGACTCACATAAGTGAGACTAGGGGATGGCCTGGTCACACAAGGTGAAGAGAAGCTGAGCAGCAGGGACTTGAGGCCATGACCCAGCAAACACACTTATTATTAGGCCAATTAGGGTGTGGTGTGGGCTTGGAAGTGGTTAATGGTTTAATTAGTGCTTTTAGATCTAGAGAGAAAGGGACACAAACAAGAAATGAAGGATTGTGCTACACCCCAGACTGGACGGGTTCTATGAATATAGGTAGATACATACTGTACATTACAATTTCTGCAGTAATCTAACAGTCTAGACAATCATATACAGAAGTCATTTGTCACTCATTACTAACAGGTCATTTTACACCCAGTCAATCATATCTACTGATATGTGAATTCCAAAATAAATGTAGCTAAACCTCATGATGCTAGGTCCAAAAAGTTTGAAGGCTGGGGTAGCTGGTTATGTGGGATGAACTGAAGTGCACCTTTACACTGAAAATCACTTCAATTGAAGGTCTGCTGCAACTAGAAATGCTTACCAATATTTGGAACATTGACGTGATTAAAAAGGGTGAAAAAAAGGACAGAGACACACTGAAGAAAAAGAACAGGTGTGGATGGACACATATGAAGGGGAGAAAAGAGTAAAACAGTACAACAGGAAAAGAGAAAGCAGCAGAGGCTGGATCTGAAGCTTAAACACACAAGGGAAAGGGGAGGTGGGCTGGGCGAATTAACTTTCAGGACACTCTTGACACCCAGAAGCCAATCAGATTTTCATTAACTGGCAGAGGGACAGGCAAAGCTGGCACAAGCTAATTAACCTCTGGATCTCTCACTGCCAAAGGAACATGGAGGAAGTTCTGGGATGGCACGGAAGAGGGGAGGAGAGGGAGGCAGGGGGATGCCCTGGGCAGAGGCCTTCAGGTTGGGGAAATGCGTGAGAGTGCAGAAAAGCCGGATGGAGCTCTAAATATGAAAGGAGAAGAGGGGGTTTACCAGAGAGGAGGGTGAGACCATGTAAAATAGGAGGTGGTTGGTTATGACTATGTACTCAGGTACAACGGCGTCTTTATGTGTAGTTAGATGCTGAGATGTTCACCAGGCTACAAAGCTTCTGTGTGAGCGTGTGAAAGTATGTGTTTTGTGTGTGAACAGCGGGGGTGTCTGTAAATGCATGCACACGTGTGTATGTGTATAATGAGCATCTCTGCATAATCAATTATTTCTCCGAGCTACAGTGAGATTAACAGACAACAGATACCTTTGAAGATACTTTGGTATGAATGATGCAGCGGCACCCACTGTTAGCAGTTAATTACTTCCTGGTCTTGGTCAGCTGCAGTTGACTTTTGTCTCTTTTTCTTTGGAATGGTGATACAACAGAAACAAATACACCGCGGCTTCTACTAATTGTCAGCTAATTTCATTATTGGTTCATCTATTTTCTCAATTAATCTTTCAGTCACTTATTTTACTCTTAAATCCTTTTATATTGTCCTGCGTTTCTTTTCTTAATGCCCTTATTGACTTATGTAACACACAACGTTTTTGTTAAACGATATTCAACGTGTTGTCATATACAGTACTGTGCAATGCAAACTTTAGATGTTTCAGTTCTGATCGAACCGAATTTATTCTGCAGAATGACAACAACCTCAAACGTACAGCCAGAGTCATAAAGAACTATCTTCAGAGACAAGAAGAACAAGGGAGTCCTGAAACAGATGGTCTGGCTCCCACAGAGCCCTGATCTCAACATCATGGAGTCAGACTGGGATTACAGGAAGAGACAGAAGACACTGAGACAGAAGAACTGTGGCAAGTTCTCCAAGATGAATTAGAACAACCTACCTGCCAAGTACCTTGAAAAACTGTGCAAGAGTACTGAAGAGAAGTGGTGCTGTTTTAAAAGCAAAGGTTGGTCACACCAAATATTGATTTGATTTGGGCTTTTTCTATTTACTGTGCTTTGTATGAAGTAAGTACCATTCATGGCTTCAATTTTGAAAGCATCTTCATTTTACTTTAAGTGCCTAAAACTTTTGCACGATGCCGTATGTGGAAGAAAAACAGCAGATATTCACATCTAAGAAGCTGGAAATGAAAAATTACCATAACACGTAATCAGTTAACAAAATAGTTTCTGTCGACCAGCTAATAGATTTATCAACTAACTGTTGCAGTTCTAAAAGACACGAGTAAAATAATGCCCATCCATCTCTTGCCTGTCTGCAACTTTACCTCTGCTACTACTCTGATCATGTTTCCCTAGTGTGTGTCTGTGTGTGTGTGTCTCTGTGTGTCTGTCTGTCTGTGTGTGTATGTGTGTGTGTGTGTGTGTCTCTGTGTGTATGTGTGTGTATGTGTGTGTGTATATTGCATGTGTCTTACCGTGGAATGCTGCCCTGGTAGAGGAGCTGGCCTCTGCGGGGGAAGAGCTCTTAGAGCGCGAGTTAAAGGGTGATTGTCTGAAGCACTCGTCCAGGAATGGACTGAAACACAGAGACATGATAAATAATACCAACACTTACATAGCCACTACATCAAACTGATGTAGTGCCTGATTTGAAGTTTACTTGGAAAGCATAGTTTAGTTATCGATCATGAATGTGACAATTAATACAAAAAAAGTATTATGTGAAATTGAGAAGAAAGACATTTCACAGCTACACACTCTGACTCACCTGTTTATTCCCACCATATTACTGTCCTTGTGGTTGTTGGCTTTGCTGACTTTTTCTGAAAAAAAAAAAAAGACGACACAAAACTATTTATCCATTGTATTATCTATTGAAACAACCCCAAAGACGATCTATTATTGCATGACTGAAATTGAATGATGACAACTCAACCATCTCCATGACAAGGAGAAGCCTTTGTTCGCTGCCAAAGACAGTAAGATGTGGTCGGGGGTGTCAGAAAAAGTTAGCAAGTTAAGATTTCTTCTGTCAAACTACTATTTCCAAGTTCAAGAATAAATTTTCATGCTCAATTTATAATAAGCCCAAAGTCTGCTGTTGACAACAGATATCTAGACGTGAGTAGCTGCCAATTTAAGTTCAGTGTCAGTTGTTAAGTCTCCTAAAACTTCCCTGCATATAGGCCATTGTCTGACACAAATACCGAGACTATGTATGCGCCTGGTTGCTGAATCCCTTTAAGTTAAATTTGGCTGGTAACACACAGGTTTGCCACGCCAGCAGGGGTGCACTGGCCATCTGGAGTAGTGGGAGTCTCTACAGTGGGTCTGCCGACCTGTGGGCTGAAAGTTAGCCCAACAACATTTTATGAACATTTTTAAAAAAAACAAAAAAAACAATGTGCATAGCTGGCCAGAACCAGACCTGCATTAGACTCCCCAGATGGCATGTGTGTGTTTTTGTGTGTGTGTACAGTCATGCTCTTGTATGTAAGTGGGGAAACAAATTACCAACACCTTTCAATATTATGGAATCCAATACAACAAGACCATTACTCTTACACTGACTCTGGTCTCTAAAACTGCTGCAGACTTGTATTAACATATGTGATAAAATGTCAACAAAAAGTGAAGATTTTAAGATTGAAAAGGGATTTATTGCATATTTTACTGGGGAGGATTATATTGCACAGGTGTACCCAGTAGACCAGCAGTCAGTGTAAAATACTACTTACAAAGTTTTTGAACGCACAGGAAAAGCTTGTTTAAGCTATGTATCACAATAAAATGTGTTCAAATATTTCATGATATATATTCGTGATGATTAAACTAACTTCTGCCTGGCCTCCTACTTTTGGAGTTATTCTTACCCATCAGCACCTGATTGTAACTGGCTGGGCTCATTATTGCTGCTATTCCCCACTTTTCTTTTTTCCAGACATTGCAACGTGCTGTTAAGATTAATTACATCAACGTGAACATACAATGTGATCGATCAATCACCTGCTGAGCTGAATCACACCAATCCTGATGCTTAAAAAGCCTAATAACATTTGATAAAAATGTAATAATTTCTCCCAGCATTAGTGGAATTCTTTCATTCAGGTAAGGCGGGGAGCCTCCACCAGAAAATGCTGCAGTAGATCCAGCACATACACATTAATACAAAAACATGAGTATATGGAGTCAAAAGCGTCAGTGATTGCTTGTGTTTTCCAAAAAGACTTGATGTCTTAGAGGTTCTCGCAGCTTTACACTATGGGCAGTGTTCACACCTGTCTTTCTGGCACCTGAGATCACACCTGTTTTAAGGTCACAACCACACCTCTGTATGCCAGAGATCCCCAGTAAAGCCGACTCGCATCAAAAACAGCATGCTTTTACATGCTAGCAATTTCTGGTTGTTCACAGAGTGGTTGAGTCTTTAACAAAAATAATAAAAAAAAGATTTTAAGAGGTTCCTAAGTGGTAAGTAAAGTGAGAACTGTAAAATCAACTACTACCACTACCTGGCCAACTAATGTTAGTACAGACCATTGGATTTCAGTATTCAGCCGTAAAGAGCACTATACAAAATGCCTGAGAATGGAGCCATGTGTGAGTTTCAAGGCGATGTAATGAAGTGAATTTCAAAGCTGCAACCATCTCAGTGTTCAGAGCGACCTTGCTACTGATGTGTCTCTGAGGTCCTACTGCTCTGGGTAATTCATATTGATTGCTCATTGTGTGACAGCAGCCCACTCCGTTCCAGTCCCCCTCACATTCAAACCCAGTTCTAAGCGGGCAGTTGTCGCTGTTGCCAGGCTAGCGATGCCCTGGCCTCCCTGGGTGGGCATACTGTGTATCCCCGCTGCCCTCTCTACCCTTCTTATCCTGTGCCCCCCTGTTACAACCCACCACCCCACTCCACTCCCCCCCCTCCACCCTAAACACCCCACTCCGTCACACTGCTCGCCAAGGACAGAGGTCTCTTTCCACGTTGCCATGGAGATGCCGCACGGGAGAAATGTAAAGGGAGGAGGGAGGGGAAGTGCAGGGGGAGAGCGTGTGCAGCCAAGTGTGCTTGAGCCGGCATGTCTGAAAACGAGTCAAGGGAGAGAGAGAGAGAGAGGGAGAGAGAATGAGAGAAAGGAGGAGAGGGAGGAGGGAAGAGGGGGGCATTTGTGCAGACACCACTCCCCAAGGGGCCTTGTGTGAGTGTGTAAGAGTGTGTGGGAAAGAAAGACTGTCAATGTGTGAATTTGTGAATATGTGCGAGAGCAAGAATAGAAAAAAAGAGATTTTACACGAGCTTGTTTCTCTATATGGCATTTAAGCGAAGCAATCAGAGGCTGGGTGGAGCTGGGGTCACAGCCCAGGACTGCAAGTCTGACCCCTCACACACTCATTCCTACACACACATCTGCGCATTTTCTCTGGGGGCCGATGGAAACACCTCAAAGCTCTGTCTTAATCTAGCAATACAAACAGCTGTCTGCTGCTTCAATGTCACTTTCATGGCCGTACAGGTAAAAAGCAGGATGTCATTACATGTCATATATCCTTGGCTTTACTACAGAGCCTCCAGAGGATGGAAATGGAAACATGTAGGTTTTATAGTTGAAAATCACAAACTGTCCAAGGTTTACAACGCGATGCTGCAGGGAAAAAGATGACATGTTGCTGTGCATGAATGTGTGTGTTGTGTACCTACTGTTGCTCAGAGAACAGCGTGTGCCTGACATTGATATGTGTCTTGTAGAGACATACCTGACAATTTGAACAGTAGTTCTGAGGCCATTTTGACCGATATGTCCTGGGAGAAGAGATCTTTCTGGGGGCGGGCCAACGTCTCGGGGAGGTTACTCATTGGCTCACTCTTCTCACTCGCCCCTAAAGTGCTGAAGGCCAGCAGGTGAGAGGCAGGTGGGGTGAGTTCTGCAGGGGGTGGGTCCACCTCCATGGGCTCTGCCTTTACTTTCACCTTCTGGTACTGGGCATCTTTGTTGTTCTCTGCGGAGGATGTTTGAACAAGAGGACAATCACTGATTAGACTCAAAGAGATTCAACTAATACACAATATCAAAGTAGAGATCTAGAGTTAGAATAGAGGTTCCTGTGAGTCGTACGTACACTGAGTACCCAGAAACAGGAACTTGTAGCTATATTGCAATGCATCAGTGCTGTGATAAATATCTTACTAAAAACATTCAGTTTTCGTTGACTACTACTACCACTTCAGTTTGTGTGGACGGTGCTTTATATTGCTGTTGTACTTGACTGTATTATACTGAACTGTTTTTCTACTGTGCATTTTCAAGTTTTACATTACACTTTACTTTCACCTGTACAGAGGAACAAAAAATGGTATAATTTAAGAATTTAAGAATTAACAAAAAGGTAGCACTGTGTATAGTACTGTATTGAATTGTATGACGGTGTAACTACAGTAGGTTTCTGTTTTTCTGGTCACTCAATATATATACATTAAAGGATAATCCCAAAACAAAATATAAATGTAATCTGTTTTGTTGCTGGAAGACTGGAAGCATGTTAATGTCATATTCTGAATAATAAGAATCTTTAGCGTGTAAACCTATGGCTGAGCTCATCTCGGCATCCCATGTAACCCTGACAGAGGATGGTTTGGACACAGATGACTGCGTTGTACCTGCGTCACAAATACAGGCTTAATTTGATGTGTTTTCCTGTCAAATTGCCTGCCAGATGTGCTAATCCTGTACAAGTCAAGTCAATTTTATTTCTATAGCCCAAATTCACAAATCACACATTTATCTCAGAGGGCTTTAAAATCTGTAAAGCATACAACACGCTCTATCCTTTGATCCTTGATCTGGATGAGGAAAAAACAACAGAGGGATTTCTCTTTCAGGGAGGACGGACATGAAAAAGATTGACTTAGACGATAAATTATCTTGTTCCTTCAATTGATGTATTCAGATAATTAATATATTCTATTGGTCTGGTTGAATAATCTAAGCAAAAAACAAAAAATTATCATACAAATGGACATAAATGAATTAAGCATCCAGTACACATGTTGTATGGAAGATGTTGTATGAATGGAATTAAATCTAAAATAGGGAAATCCAAAATGAGTGTTGCCTCTAAAGCTGAGCTGAGCCAGTTAACATCTAGCTGTGTAATTATTAGGGCAAGAGGGCACCGGGAGGTCACACTGTTGCTCGGGGAAGGCTCCAGCAGCTCGTGTAGTTCACTGAAGCAAACAAGACAGATGCTAACGAAAACACTTTAAATGTTAACTGAGCACACTTCAATCTATGTTTATGGTAAGAAGGTGTTTGATGTAACAGTGTTCGATTCCAGATAGTTTTTTTTTTTTTTTTTTTTTTTTTCAGCACATAAACAATGGTCTGAAAGGGTTGAAAACAGCCGTTGACTCACTTCTCATACAAGTTCAAAAGGTGAGGCCAAGTGAGCAGGCTAAAAATAGCTGAGAGGGAGATGGCATCTGTTAGGAATGTCCCGAGCTGATCTGCAGAATCAAACACTGACTCTCCTCTCTCTACGGATATTAAACAAAAGACTACAGGCCACCATGAAAAACACTGGAAAGTATTAAAAGGAAACTGTGATGCAGGCTTTATTTTCTTAATGTGGAGCTACTGAGCTGTCAGATATTGCTTCTCTAATGGTCTCTAATAACTAAATTTAGAAGATTAAAAGTAGCGCTACTTTAGGCTACAGTAAGTCCACACTGTGAAGCTCGGTAATGTAGAAAAAAAATCGGATTGGAGGAAAAAAAAAAAACCTTGGTTGGGACATCCTTTAGCATCTGTATATCCAAGGTAGCTGATCTTTGACTGGAGTGATGGCAGGAGGTAGTGTCTCAGTGTGGTGACAAGCAGGAGCAAGACAAAGCAGCACAGTTGATACAGTGCTGCTGACATGGCGACTCAGCACGATTATGGGATATATGAATTTGGCAGGGCATCAGGAGCAGTAGGAGGGGCAGGGGGAGGTTAGAGGAGCTGGAGGAACGGGGGGGGAGGGAGGGAGATATGAGACAGTAACCCTGCACTAACCCTGCCACCCCTCCCCTCACATTCTCCACTCCTCTGCTGAAGGAGGCCAGTGTGAAACACCAAGACTGAACTTACAGTACACTGTGCACACGTGTGAACATGCAAGGGTATCTACTTCAAGCTGAACAAGTGCGAGTGTACTATACTGTTTATGTGGATGCATTAAAGTGTAAACTCCCCCAAGCCTCCTCCCCTAGGTCCAGGTGTCTGGTTTATTGGTAGTAGCCAGCATGTGGGGGACACTGACAACCATCAGCCCCACTAATCCCTTAATCAGGTGGCCAGAGTTGGCCAAGAGTAACCTAGGGGAGGCTGATGGAGGGGCAGAGCAGAGGAGGAGAGGAGAGTGAGAGAGGAGGGCGGAGGGGTAGGGGGCACTGCGCTGTAAGGGTCAACTAAGGGACACGCGAGCTTCTATCACTGGATCACCACCCTATCGACAGAGGCTGAGTGGACTGCTGAGCTGCAAAAACACACAGTCACACGCAAAAACACACGCACGCAGTGCTGGGATAAACATGCTCACGTCCCAGAGAACCTTTACGGAGAGATCACATGACACAGAGAGAAAAAATTTAAATCGCAAACACAGTGACACCATATTGAAAGCATCGCATCACAGCGGGCCAAGTCTACCTGTCACAAAATAAAAAATGAAAATATGGCCTCACTCCCACACCGATAATAGCTATGGCTTTTTGGTCGAGGTCATGACCTAATGTTCTGAAGCCATAAAAAGCAGCCCTCAGTCTGTCTGAATCCAGCTTGTGTATGTGTGTGTGTGTGTGTGTGTATGTGTGTGTGTGTGTGTGTGTGTGTGTGTGTTGTATGAGAGAGTGAGTGCGTGTGTCATTTCCTCTGGTGCAGAAGCCTCCTCTACGATGCACCAGCTGCCATTAGGCCACAGAATCAGGTCTGGAGGAATGTGTGTCTATGTGTGTACAAGAGTGCCTGTGCCCTTTCCCAATAAATATCATAGCTTCTCTTTAGTGTCAGTGTTGTTCCAATTCCTTTTAATATTCCTTCAAAGTATGCCAGTAAAACTCAACAAATATAAATACAACATAAAAGTATTTTCAAGATTTATGACAAATAGAAGAGGTTAAACTGCAGGCTATTAAGTTTTGTTGTTTGTGTGTGTGTGTGTGTGTGTGTGTGTGTGTGTGTGTGTGTGTGTGTGTGTGTGTATGAATTTATATTACAGTTGTACCACTCAAAAATTAAAACGGGTATTTGGTGGTTTATATTGTGATTCTTTAAAAACGGACAGGAGTCGTGCACATGGGAGCACACATTTCTGTGATAATATTTGGGAAATATTAAATACCAGAGACAAACACTGACATTTTGAGTATTATTTCATTAAATACAATATAATGTAGTTTATTAAATTTTTAACAATGTGGCCTAGATTTAGTAGAATATTAATCTTGCAACAAAATGTACAAAGTCCTCAGCAGAGTTTAGACAAGGAGCAACCTAGTCCACTTTAACTAGCAGAAGTATTACTCATCTATCTAACATCATTTTCAGTTTCAACGTCCATATATCAAGAGGGCGCAGGGCCTCACAAAAATACTAGATTCCTTTGACACGTTTTGTTCTATTTAAATCCAAATTCCTATGAGCTTTCCTTATTTTCCCAAAGGTTTCAACAATGAATTGCTTAAAGCTTTTGTTAATTTAAGAGCAGGTGTAACAATTAAGTACATTTGACACGGCTTTGTTCTACTGGCTGTTGTATGTTTGTTAAATAAGTGGTGAACTTTCACTTTATTGCTTAAGCTTCATATCGGGGCTTACACACACAGTATGGGCATCAGCAATAATGACAAAGCGTTAGATCTGTCTGGATTAAGTAGGTTAAAGCCTTTGACCAAGCGTGACCCTTAACCAAGTGAACATGGAAGCTTCTTTGAGCTCCATAAGGTATGTTATGGCAAGTCGCAGTCTTTTACAGTATTAGTGTATATGTGCTGTATGGCAAGTTGCTCCAAATGCACTATACATACCTTGTTCCCTCTGACGCAGCACTACTCAAGTTTTGAGTCAGAATGAAAGTGACTGGGGTTCGTGTAATGTTCTGTTTTTAGTGATCAACTTTGACCTCAGGTGTCTACTTGAATCTGTGTGGACATGACAGCCCGTTTTGCTGAGAATATACAGTATGTAGGTACAGACCCAGCATAGATTTGTAACTACAGTACACTAGACAGAAAAAAAACACATACCAGTAGTGACTTAATGCATGCAAAGTCAATTTATTGCACCGCTTTGATGCATCGACAGCATAGGAACAAAAACTTGGACAGACAGGCAGTGAGGGAGAAAGACGGAGGGAGAGGCAAAGAGGAAGGGTAAAGAAAAGAAAAAAAATTGTCAAACAGTGCCAGAAAAAGAAGACCCGAGGGTAAGAGAGGAAAGAAGAAATGGGATGAGAGAGAAGAGCTGGGGGAGGACAGAAGGATGAGGAATGGCTAGAGCCTAAATGACAACCTCTCCACCTCTCCCCCTCCCGTTATCCTAGTCTACCCTTCTCCCAGCTCTGTTATTCCACATCTCTCTATCCCTGCCCCCATCCCTCTCTCTCTCAATCTCTCTATTCTCCTGCTCTCTAGTCGACCTGCTCAGACAGGGGTGAAGAGTTCAGGCGCTTCAAAGGCTGCAGTGTGGAGACTGCATGTCATGTGGGAGCCACAGCAGCCTTGCCTGCAGACTTCACAGACAGCTGCTGCTACAATTGATCCTCGACCAGTTAGTTCTCAGTAGTTCAGCCTTCCAACAGTTGCAAACTGCAGCTACATCTGACTCTAGAGCAGTGTGCTTGATAAACAGCCCATAAGGAGCCAGATACGGCCCTTATAAAGCAGCCCTAAACAAAAACATTTGGCACAAGCCAGAGCAGATCCAAGGCTACCAAAATTTTATCATATAAGGTCAAGACAAAAGACGGCAAGTGATTGTCTCAGTAATTCTGTCAATCATGTCTCACATTTACACAGGGCACCCAGGAAAAAAACATATATAGTAAGGTTCAAAAGGACTTGGCTCTCCATTTCTGTAGACAGAACTATAGGCAGTGATGAGGAGCCATTGAGACAGAATATGGAGGTAGGGAGGGTGGGAGTAAGAGAGGTCAGCGAGCGGCCACACTGAGGGGGCATGGTGAGGACACTGTCAGAGCAGTGTTGAGCTTAACATAAAGTAAGACTGTACAGTAATGCCAGTGTTGTGAATTAGAATGATGAACTGCCTGGACAGTATGCTGTGATAATCCATACTGAGTAAATAGTGAATACTTTTATGTGAGGGTAAAGATAAATTATGAGCATTACATACAGTTACTAACTAAATGGGGAAAGGCTATATTTATTATTGTCATCATTATAATTGCAGTTTGCTTAAAGTTTGGTTCATTCCTAAACCTGATTGATGTTACACTTCCCACATTTCTCAAACTACACAGATACTTGTCATTTTAATAGAGATTAAATCATTATCTTTGTCACATAACAGTTACTGTAAAATACAACAGGACCAATTTTCTTAACCTTCAACTGTGCATTACCGTTCATGGCGCAAAGGCAGGAGGGGTGTAAGCTCAGGCTGGTGTATGGCAAGGTGCTGGTGTTTTAGTGATAATTGGCTGTTTGAAATTGCGCTGAAAAAAGCTGAAAATTTTGTTTTCAATGCACCATCATTGCAATGGAAATGTGTGGTGGAAATATGCAGCAATTACACACAGTATAAATACTGAGTGAGGAAAATAAACACATTCTACAACAAGTAGAAGCTTTAAGATAAAACATAATGTAATTTAAGCAAGAATGTCAATGTCAATAAGGCTGTCTGCATCACTCATCCTAAACTGCTTTCTAACTTTAGAAAATCCTTGATTAAATCCTTACTGTGACCTGAAGGCAGAAGGCGGTGTACACTGTATAATCTACCTGTAGCTAGTAAGCTCAGAGCCATTATGAACTATGATTCACTGTGGTTAGCTTCAGGAAATCACAGCCAACCAGGCTGCCGCTGCTGCCGCTGCTTCTGCTGCTGTTGCTGCAAAAAAAAAAAAAATCCACAAAAACCCAGCTGCTGCATACTGTAGCTGTATGTTCCACCACTTCATCTGTTGCATTTTAATGAATGCATTTTAAGCAACATGGAGTGGTACAGCAGAATTACAACAATGAATGTTCGAGTTGAATTTAAAAGTGGTAAGTCAGAAGTTTTCTTTTAAGGGATAAAAAAAAATATAATCTCACAACTCTCTCTGGCGCATCATGCGAAGTGTGTAAGTGTCAGTTTATCTAGTTGACAATGACAATATCCACACTTCAGACCAACACTGTCATCAGCCTATAATCATATGAAATCATTAAAAAAAAACATGGGCTTCAACTATCACTAGAGTTGGTGAACCGAACCACCAGTTAATAATAAACCTATATTTGAATGGTAACCCTGCTCCAAAGGGAAGCCCATGTTGCTCTTTTTCTGTGTAGGTAGGTTGCTTTCTGTAATATCAACAAAAAGAACCTCATAAGCTAAAGATTGTTGCTGTTTCGAGGTCTTTTTGCTCCTTAGTGGTCAAAATAGTTTAATGCAACTTTTATTAGCTAGGTAACAAGCACTGTGGAGGGGAGAGGGCCTGTAAAAATGTCCTCAGAGATGGAAGGCCTGTTCCTAAGGAATGAGGAATGAGTTAAGCGAGTACAAAGTGTGATTTCACACCTATAGTGAGGGTGGCTGGATGGTGAGTGGGTGGCGCGGCTGTTACCCACACGATGCCAGTCTGCCAGGGCACCACCTAGGGCCCTGCACCTCCCCTCCCCTCTCCCTTCCTGTGACGCCATGTTCCCCTTGCCCTGCAACACCAGTGCCCATCTGCTAGGACACGTTAGCCGCTGGCGCCAGGGACTATTTAGCCTGGCATAATTAGCCCCCAGACACCAGCAGCCTGGTTTTAAACAGATGTGGGGGAGGTAGCGTTAGCAAGGCGACTCAACACGACCAACCAATGTTTGATAAGGAAGAGAAGAGAGAGGGGGAAGAAGAGAAGAAGAAGTGACCTAGTTAAAGGGATGATGCAACTCATGTTACAGCACAATGGGCAGTAATGATGACAACCCCACTTGCTCTGACTGTCCAATGCCATGGTCGAGGAGGGAAGAGCAGCAGAATTTAATTAGGTTGTGTCCATTTGCTGTACTGACAAGCAAGAATGAGGAAATAAGCAGTTTTTAACAGACTACGAGTGATGTTTTAACAAAGAAAATGCTTAGCCTGCACTCTCCAATGTGATTTCCCTATTAAAGTATCTGTACTAGTTATTGTATTCTGGGGCTGACCCTTACCAGGGGACAGAGAGAGGTTACAGTGTAGATGCCCTTGAACCTCATGGCTGTAATCACACGTGACTGTAACGGCATTGACCTTTCCCTGGCTCTCTTCTTTCCACCTCACCATCTTTTTCTCCTTCCCTTCCCCCCAGGGTCATTTGAGGGTCCAGACTCTTGTCAAGGCTGTCACTCTAGACAGCCCTCTCCATCTACCGCCCCCGCTGTTGCCATGGCAATGGACGGCACTGCGCTCCAAGGACTGTGTGAGGGGGCAGAGGGAGCCAGCGGACGGATGAACGCTGCAGCATCTTTCCCTAACCTAGGTCAACCTTGCAGAGCTAGTGTAAGTGATGGGAGGGGATAAATGCTGGCCATGCTGCTTGAGGACCAAATAAACTGGCAGGATAATGTCAGTGCAAGGATTGAAACGGCAAAAAAAGGTAGGAGACAGAGGGATAACAGTGATGAAACAAAGAACATAGGTGGAGGCAGTACGGTGGAAGAATTATATACTACCCACATCATTCTCTCAATTTCTCTATTTTACACACAAAGGCCGGCGTCTTGTATTTGTTTTTTTTTTGTGTTGTTTTAAAGAAGTAATCATGTCAGTTTTGTCTTCCTCAAATGCACACACACAAAAGCACATGCACACACACAGGGAAACGTGACCTGGGGGCAGGCAGTGGAGCAGCACACGTGTAGTACCACTGAGCTCCCAGCCAGCATGAGTCACTCTGAACACCAGTCGACCCGGAGAGAACAATGGCAACCGGTGTGTGAGGTGTCTGTAAAGCACGCACACACTGGCACTGGATGAAGAGCCACGGATAGAGCAACGCCCCACTGCGCCACCATCAGACTGCTATTTGTGCTTTGTGGTTTTTAATACAGTGGATGCATATTTGCACAAGTGTGTAACATTGTAAATTTTATGGCTGCACAGTTCCAGGGCACTAGTCATTGCAATGTTGATATCAGTGTGCATTTTTTTCCCCCAAAATAAAAGTAGTCCATGAGGTCAGCTAAGTTTTGGATGAACTAAAATTTGAAAAGTATTTGTTAATTCAGAATAATGTGTACAGCATGCATGCATTGCGGATAATTGAATATTTCTGTGCATATAACATAGCTAGAAAAGCCAGCTCTGTTGCTGCATACTGATACGTACTTCAACAAATTTCATTTTTGATAGCCTGAGAGATACACTCCAGCAGCCCACAGTGGACAAACACCTGTCCATAACACACTTGAACTAGACCTAGCATTCAATAGTGATTTCTGATGTAGGCTAAAATAAGCAGTGGCCTTAAACTTTATTTAGCAGTGACACAAACTGTTAGAAAAGAAATTGAAAAGCAACAGTTACCTTTTACATACCGCCAAGTACAGCATGCGTAATGTGCTACAAAATTAAGAACCAAGCAGGAATCCCTGTCTGCGGACTTGTTACCGACATTCTTGCTGAGTTCAAACCGCAAGCTGTAAAAGGCTAAATCATGCTGCACTGGTTGATGTCAGAGCGGTCCACACAGGTCCAGACATGGTCATGGAACAAAGGGCAAGTCAGGGACGAGTTTTAAGTTCAATAACGTAAGCAGATACTATACTTTATCTTCCAGTTGTCTGTCTTATTTTGTAGAGGAACTTTAACGACTACGAAAAGTAAAAAGGCCCTTTGCTCCACAAAAGTTGGAATAACCTGATGCAGAGAAGGGCAGAAAGAAAATAAAGGGTCGAGACAAGCGACCCGAGTATCATCACAGAAGATACATAGTCTTTGCAGCCACCATCTAGAGCAGAGGCTTCAGAAAAACAAAGTCTATTCCACCATATTTGCTTTTCCCCCAAAGGTACACTTTGTTCACCTCTGAGAAGCCCCCAATTTGAGCTTGGTTAGGTGTGCCATGGTAGAAAACAATAGAACCCTATTATGGCCGTCAGTGACATAACCTTTGGCCTACAGCTAACTTCCTGAGCTGGTCCTGGCTGATCTGAAACTCACAACCAGCCGGCCAACACCACAGTTATCAATAACAAAGGGCATGCATGTTGTTATGCTTTTTTTTTTGTTGTTGACATATTCAAATGTTTGCATACAGTTTTACACAAAGTCATTAAATATACTGTACGCATCTCATGCATACACAATTTCAAGACCACTTGAAATTATTGTTCTGCTTAGATTTATTAGAACTACAGAATTGTGTGGACTGTTGCATAGGTCAACCTGAGAACTACAAAGCTCATTTGCATTTCCCCCCTTATCGCAAACACATCACATAAATTCACAGCTAAGTACACACCCTACCTGAAAGCTTAATCAGCAACTCAGAGGCCACCTTCATGTTGATATCCTGGCTCAGCAGGCTGTTCTTAGCCATGGGACTTCCTTCCCTTGGTTTCAGTGGCCCCGGGCGCTCTGTGGCTGCCGCAGCCCCTTTTGGTCCGTCCTGGCAGAAAGTCACAGGGAAACTTGACTGGACCTGGCTCTGGGACTGGGAGGATGGTCTGGGGCTCAGCGCTTCCTCTACTTTGGGCTCTTCCTTCAAGTGGAATGGAGACTTGAGCGTCTCCCTCTGGTTGGCCGCTGCAGCATAGAAGACAGAGAAGACAGAAAGAATGAGAAGAAATGAAGAGGAGAAACTGGGGTGAGGGCAGGAGAAGGAAACAACTAATACTACTTGTGCCTAAATTTGAAAAAGGTGCATGTTGATCTGAAAGGTGTATGATAAGTTTAAGTATATGACAGGTTCTACAACTAACTATAATAACAATAAATAACAAATTTATTATGGTGCTAACTGAATAAAAAACAATAACACCTGAGGTTCAATGTAATACGCCATGAGGACATTTCACTTTCAAGCTTCATGTGAGTGAAGAGGACTGTGTGTGTGTGTGTGTGTATACACACACACACACACACACACACACACACACACAACGTATGATACATGAAAATTCAAATTAAACGGAACATGATCCATTTTCATAGTCTTATCGCTGCAACAGTTGCCACAGTTGCATGCTGTGGGCCAACATGGAGGGTACAACCTTATGGCCGCCCTTCTCTCTAAGTCTTTAGGGCATCTGCAACAATATTCCCAAGTCCTCTCCTTCTTCCTTTGTCCTTCATACTACTACTTTCCCCCCATCCCATTCATTCGTGTGCACTTTGTTCGTAGCACCATTCCACATTAAGTCTGGTCTTCCTAATTCCGTCTTGCCTATGACATCGTCTAAATCCTCTTCAGACATAAGGACATGAAATAATTCCTGTACTTGTGTGGAACGCGATTGCAATCAAATGAAGCCTTATCTGCCATCTCTGCAGTGTGTAGCCTAGGTTAGGGAGTGAACTGTCACATGGATCCCTCTGCACTACAGTCATCTTCAAGAGAAACTGGGCCACATCTAATCCGCCTTAGATGAATAATTAATAATTAGACATGGAGCAACTTCCGATAGCCGCCAAGAAAAGAACAGCGGGGCAAGCACGTCTCTTTGTGTCTCCCAGCACGTTCCACTACACTCTGTGCTAAAACGAAGGTTTACACAAGCTGTAAAATGAAATTTAAAATGGCTATAGAACACTGAGAGACACTGTGTGTTTATATATTTAAAGACGTGTGTGTGTGTGTGTGTGTGTGTGTGTGTGTGTGTGTGTGTGTGTGTGTGTCTCTGTGTGTGTGTGTGTGTGTGCGTTTGCATGTGTGTGTAAAAGAATGTAAAGTTTTTTGATATTCAGACCTATTGATGATGATCTCCTGCTGCAGGAGGAAGTGGGGAAGCAGGGTTTATTTGAGCAAACATAAAACTTGTAGGGAGTACATGTTAGACTGCCTTGTTTTTGTTTGTAAAGTAAGAATTAATTAGCCGATGTGGATGCAACAATATCTGTGACTGTTCTCACACGTGAGTCAGGAAGCAGAACCATATTGCTATTGCGAAATTTCACAGGAAGGCAATCACATATGATACTGATAACCAACTGTGGTTGCATTCAGTATTTTCTGTAATTGTCTGTGTTAATTGTAAAAATACCTGCACCTCAGAGTCATTTCTCCTTAAAGCAGAATAAATTTCTAATATCATGTCACTGTAAAAGTACTTGTCATGCAATCTGAAATAAAAAAATTCACTTGCTGACACCACAGGTGCCTTCAACTTCAGAAGAACTGTGTGGATATTACTAGTTCATCTTTATTTGTTTAAAGTAAAAAAAATTCAAAATAATAATTTTAAGTTTAATTTTTTTTTCAATCTGAAAGCTAACATAATTTGACTGTGGCAAGTGTGACATCACACACATCTCCTGACTCAACCCTTGACACTTCAAACACACTGTACACCCCAGCATGTACACTATCTGTCTCTCTCACAGACACACACACACACACACACACAGACACACACACACACACGCAGACACACACACACACACACACACACACACACACAGGGAATGGATATAAGAGAGGCTATCACTCTTGGCAGACTGCTGTCCAGTCTCCTCTGGCCCCAGCAGAGATCTGCTCCGCTCCTCACCCTACCGTCTCACCTAACATCTCTAACCGCCACAGGCCTGCCGCCCCCTGCTCGCATCATCAATCTGTGCCGGCTCCGGCCTCTCTGATTAATGATGATCTATGCCGGAGGGATAGAGGGCTCAGGGACAGGGGATACAGGGCAGGAAAAGGGAACAGGTGCTGGTGTTTTGACCACCCATGCAGTGCCACGATGCCACAGTGCCACACCATGGCAGGCCGGGGCTGTAGTTCAAGAGGGGGAGAAGGAAGAGGTTGAGCGGTGGGTGGGGGGGGTGGAGGGGGCCGGTGACCTTCAAGTTCAGGGGCAGTGGCGCAGGGTCGCACGCAGCACCAGCTGGAAATGTCACACCGTCAGATGTCAGCGGGCAGGCTAAGTATAACCTGGTCAGCACCTGGAAGGACGTCCTCTAATTAGAAGCGTGTTGGGCCATGTCGGATCAGACAGGGACAGCACACTTGGTCACTGTCTTACAAACACACATAAAAAATACACTATCGCCTTTACCTGCACAGACACATACTTATCCATATCTTAGGAAAACTCCTTACTTTGTGTTGCCACGTACAACAGTGCTCATGCTGCTTTCAAACCATACGCAAATGCTGGGATGCACATGAGCCACTGACAAATACAGACTCAACACAAACTTAGATTCTCAAATTCTTCTCCTCTGTGGCCTCATGAGAACAAAAACAACCCCAGGCCGTGCACTCACACACAAAGTCACACCACTCCAGTGACCTTTTGGATTGTCGCTATAAATAGAGTGTATTTCCACTCAGAATCTATGTTACAGAGCCCAATGAATTATTTAGTAGCCTAATCCAATGGGCAAGTTTTTTTATTTCTTCAAGCTGATGGCTCAATAACAAAAAGCCAGAGCAGCCTACAATGCTCAGCTTACACTTTTGCCTTTTGTCTGTCAGAGTTTCACAATCACAACAGCATCATGAGCATTCAGTCTCTGGCAGATCATCTTGTGAAGTGAACACACATCTGAGGACGAGATGGGCATCTCTGGGTGACTGGGCTTCTCTTCTGTGAGCTTCCTGGCTGTGTGAGTACATACCCAGGCCAATGTCAGCTCCCTGTGCATGATACTGTAAGGCTGCTTCTAGCTCAGGGTTGACGATGCTATCAGTTTGTCTCCATGTTATCACACCCCTCTGACACCTGCCACCAACACTACCTCCATAGCCGCTCTCTTCCCTGTTTCTCTCCCCTTTGCCACGCTTCTCTCTCGCGCCTCATCCGTCTCGCTGCCAGGCGCTTGTCCACTCCGCCTCACCTCTCGCTCCGTGGCCAGGGCTGCCGTCAAATAACTTCATTAGCTTTCCACCTCTGTCACGCTGGCCTGCTCCCCCTCTGACAATTGGCTGCTGTTTTCTCCCGGAGAAAAAAAGAAGCAAAGGCCTACGTGGGGCAGGTTGAGAACCCAACAATAGCTGACAGTGTGCTAGACATTGGACAGTGATACTGATGGCTGCAGTGGGGATGTATGGACCAGAGGTCACACACAAAAGGCCTGCCTCTGTCTGCTCATGCAGAGCTGGAAAGCAAGGGACATGCAGATTAAATCTAGATGTTCACAAAGAGGCAAAACTTAAGACAAGACATTTCAGTATCCAAAATATTAAGTGTCAACTAAGAGATGGTGCAACAAAATCCAAGTATTTCTACACTTGAATATACAAAAGATGCCCCTATTGTGTTTTCAAAAACAGAAATGACAAAATCTAGATTCTCAAAAAAAAAAAAAAAGAAAAAAAAAAAGCCTTAAAATACTTCAGGTTATCCATGTACAGTTTTGAAATTCTGCTTGTGCGTCATCTCACTGTAGCAAAGCACTGCATGCAAGATATTCTCCTAGGACAAAGATAAATAAGACAACTGCAGAAGCATCATGACAGATGCAACACCTCCCACAACCCCCTGCATGCCAATTATTCACACCCAGCCAGGGTCAAGCTCGTTGTGCCTGTGTCACCGCAGCGGGGGGCGGGGGGTGGTGTTTGGAGGGTGTGCAGTGCCCACTGTCATTATTAACTCAGGGTCCACTGGGCACAGGGTAGGGCTGTGCATTTCAAAGTGCCTCGGTGGCTTTCATCTCTGAATCAAAATGTGGATCACACTGGATAGCTAACGGTTGTGTCAGCGTGCAAGGATAAAAATCAAAGGGTATCAGTATAACACTCAATGGAAAGCAGGGCAGCCCAAAAAATGATATGCTTATTATGTCAGAGGTCAGGAAGAGTTCAGTGGCTTTTTATGCCTGGGGAACTCAATGCAACTCCCTCTTTACCTCTTTCTCCCTCTCCCTCCCTTACTGTCACTTTATCTGTCTCTTTTTTTTTTTTTATCTTTTTCTCTCTAGCTTTTTATACACCACCACCACCACCACCACCACCACCACTACCCCCCTCTCCCTCCTCCCTCCTCCCTCATAGGCCTTGTGGGATTGAATTGAGGCACTGAGACAGTAGTGTAAAAGCAGGAGGGATGAGCTGCTCGTGTACACACTCAATCTGGGTTGGCAGGGAGGTCAAAAGAAATAGAGTCTACAGGTCCCAGGAGGAACTTCCTCACCTCTCCCTCTCTGGCTGCTCCGTGGCATGGGTAACTCTCACTGAGATCTGAGCCCAGTTCTTCTCAGTTTCATAACCCTGTATCTTTAACTCCGCCCCCCAACAAAGGGAGAACTTTGTGATCAAAGAAGCAGCATTCATTAAAACCCATTATCATGCATTCAAGTTCAACATCCTCTCGTCCTGTCTTTTTATATCCTCCCTCATTCTCCTTGAATGATGCCCTGAGTAAGATGTCCGCCACTTGACACTGGACTGACATTGCGAGGAGCCATCTTGGCTCCTCTGGGAGTTGCCTGAGCTTGATTGTGCAGTCTGGGAGTGAAGTGCAACTGGCACCCAGGGGGCAACCATGTGGCGCCGGGGCGTGCGAGATCGAGGGGGAGTTAACTAAGCCGGCCCAGTCCCTGTGCATTCTGGCGGGGTCACAGGATGGCGCTGAGGGCGCTAATCATTTCAAATTATGAATTCCTTTTTAATTATGAATTATGCATAAATTTTTAATTAATCTAATGTTCCCAGGGTTTTTTCCTCCCATCCTCACTCAAGATCTCAATCTAATTACACAGCATTAAGTGGAAGAGTGGCAGGCGTAGCCTCGACCCCGGCGCTGAACCTCGGTCAACCTTTTTCCATCAATCTTGCCTTTGTCTCCCGGCTCATCCTTTGATATTTTGCAACACGGTGAAATGCATCTAAACACGGCCTGAGCCTGGTATACCTTGGAGCAGCATGTTTGTCAAGTTTGTTTGGTTAAAATGCTGTATCATTATGTTATAGAGCAATACACAGCAACTTCACCAGTGGAAAATACTGCTTCTTGAACAGGAACGGCCAGGTACACACCATCAGCTGCATCAACTGTTTCAGTAAAACAAATACCATTAAGGGTGGGGAAAGGAAGACTTCTCAGTGTATTAGACAAGGTCTTTCACCAGAGTACAGCAGCCCTGTGTTAACAGCACTTAATGCAGGGTTTCAGATCACCTCATTCCATTTGTGGATCGTGACATTTTCAGTCTATCCCCTCAACACATATACAGTGAAATCTTCCACCATTTTGTCAGTAATACTAACACAAAGAAAGACAGAATTGTTAGCAGGAGGAAGGTGCCTAGAGGTTATAGAAGTTCAGCTACCCTGTCAACTTACAAGATGTGTGTGAAGAAAATTAGTCCCACAACAACTATTGTTGAGATGCCAATCATTAAGTTCCCAACTACTTAAGTAGAGCTAATCAGAGGCCAACAGCAGAGGACTGCGGATTTTTTTTAAACTAAAAAGACCCTGGAAATACCCTTGATAAGTGATTATTTTATGGTAGAAAAATGTACCAATTGTGTATTTTGAAGCCTAGGAAGCAAATAAAATATAATTCAACAGAGCATTTATTCACAGGATTAGAGATGAACATAGTGTACATGCTCTGATTTAGGTCATGACTTTAGTGCTGCGCCACGGTACTTAAACTGATTTTTATGTGCACGTTCTACTCTGCTGCTACCAATCATGGTGGTGCACACAATTTCTGCTTGAGGTGCAATTTAACTGATGAATACCAAAAAAAAAATCTAGCCCCATTGACCATTAGTAAAGCAATGTTTAGAGGCACAAAGCCTTGGTTCTGAAAAGTAAAAAAAAAAAAAAACAGCTCAACATCAGAACCTTCGCAGTGTTTTTACTCCTTCATGGCAAGCTTAGAATCTGTTATTATTATGCCAAGAGTGTCTCCTCTTTTTGACTTATTCCAACACACACCTTAATTGTACACAGAAGTGACATGACACAAGGGTGACAATAACTGAGTCAGATGTGCTTGGCTTAACAGCATTAACAATTTGTACATGGACTGGTTCCTGATCATTGAGATGCGTCATCTTTTAAATATATATTTGCAAAATCAGATCTCACAGGGGACAGCTTTCCTGCGTCCATCCCAGTAATACATCAGCTGGGCAGGTTTTTCAGGGATGTTACAAGAATATTTCAAGCCTTTACTATCTGTAACTGTCTATTGTGAAAATACAGTGGACAGTCAGTGAAAATATTGTGTGTGTATGTGTGTGTGTGTGTGTGTGTGTGTGTGTGTGTGTGTGTGTGTGTGTGTGTGTGTGTGTGTCTACTGTACACAAAGGACAATCACAGTGCATATTTATACCTACATTTTCTACATATAAGGCAAAATCCCTGTGTCTGTGCAAAGTTTCACTGCTGTAATTAAGAGACACATCTATCTAAATATAATGTTATTGTTTTAAAGACTACTTACAGGAAAAATAAAATATAATGTATTTAGTCATATATACAGTATTTTGTCTCCTTCAAATCAGTGCCATAAGGATAAGTTTTGAATGCTTGGGGGTGTTGTCCTAACCATTTTAAAGGCATATGGTACTTCCAAGGCAAAGAGTGTGTCCATGGCCAACTATTCTATCGTGCTTGTGGAAAATACACTGAAACTAAGTTTGTGAATAAACCTCTGTGCAGGTGAAGACTTGCATCAATATGCACAGTAATAATTAAATGTTGAAGAGCAGCTCAAACACGCATCTTTGTCTGAATCTACCTAAGACCCATGCAGTGTGACCTGGCACATACTGTGTTGGATTCAATTCACTGTTTAAACAGTAACGTCAGTGTGACTTTACATTTTTTCTTTTGTTAATGCCCATTAAAAGTAAAAAAAAACAATGTATTTGCCACTATCAAGAGCTAAAGCCGTTTGTTCACTACAGTTTTGAACTAACTCCCAGACATTTTAGGCTCCCATTGTTTTAAAATCCATTAAAAACAGCTCACAGAGACAAACTGCAGCCTTGACCTGGAACGATAAACATAAAACTGTTTACACTTCTTACGAATGTTATTTCTGGTGACAGTGAAGAATCAAAACAAAACGTAAGGCAAAGGCGAGACAACGTCAGATCACCACGGATGCCTTCACATTCAAGTCTCAAAGAAGTGAAATACTTATGATAAAAGTGCAACTGCAATGACTGCAGAGTTACAAAGTCAAACTGAGAAAATGGTACAATAAACAAAACAATTGTGGATTACAGGAGTCAAGCTATTAGTCTGTGTGTGCAAGCTGTTTTATGTTTCTTAAAACCATATAACCGACTGCGGGTCACACAAAACGAACCATTTCCAGACGTCATCATGGGCATTTTTTTTGCTCTTTGCTGATATTCTATAGGCCAAAGGATTAACAGATTATTAAAAAATAAGAAGATTAATCAATGATGAAAATAACTGTTAGTTGGAACCATTTCATCTAATAGTTATTATAAAATGAATGCTAACCTGATAACTTCATAAGCAGATCAGTGGCCGTCTTGGTAGTGATGTCAGGGCTGAAGAGGGAGGCTGTGGTTGGACCACTCGGACTGGATCTGACCCCGACTCCAACCCCAACTCCAGGTAGGTCCAGGGAGTTGGCACTGCTGCTGGGACGTTCCCTGCAAATGCTAAAGGGGGAGAGCACAGACAGGTCTCTCTCCTGTGGCTCCTCCTTGATGTGGACATGATTGGAGGAAGCCTCGACCGGAGGGGACGTCTGCTGCTGAGTGTCTGAGTGCAGCGGGGACACCTCCGTCCCTCTCAGGTCCGCGGAGCCGCTGTCACCCATCAGGGAGCCCTCGCCCTCCGTGTCGGTGGTGAGCTCCTCTTTCACCTTGACGTCTGTGCGGGGGAAGTGCTGGTGGCAGCGCATGTGAAGCTTCAGGCTGAAGTGACGGGAAGAGGTGAAGGGGCAAAGTTCACACTGAAACGTCTCACCCCGGTCCTGGTGCTGATGTACCTGGAAAAGGAGGACAGGTTTAAGTGTCAAAGCACTTTTTCTCTCCAACACTACAGCACACAAGAAGAAAGACAGGATTCGTAGCTTTATTTCAGTTACATTTAACAGTGAGATTCTGCTACAAACAATCGTGTTTCATTATGGCATGTAGAAGATTAAAAGTTTAACTAAAGCATGCATATCCTTTGATGTTAACAATTATATTTCAAGAGCCATAATCAGCGCTGACTGAAGATGATGTGGGTGGGGATGACAAGGGTTGCAGGGTGACAAGAGAAAGAATATCCATATGATCTCACCTTCATGTGGGACTTGAGATTGTCTTTGCGAGCACAGCGGAAGGGACACAGGGGACACTGGTGGCTTTTTAAGCCTGTGTGGATGACCATGTGTCTCTTCCAGTAGCTCTTGCGTTTGATGACCAGTCCACACACAGGACACTGGAATGGTTTGCCGCCATCCTCAGGAGAGCCTTGAGGGGACCACAGGTCATTGTTACCGTTTACAGAGAACATTTAATACATTTCAGAATCTATTCATCAGTCTTATGGAGCGTGTAAAAATGTATTATGTTGCTGGAATATACCTCCATTACTGAAAGGAAATAAAAATCACTCTATCCAAATGCAGACTACAGTATTCACAGATCTGCAAGAGACAACTCCTGCACACCTAATGGTGAAACTATCAAGGGAAAAGCCAGCTGGAAGCAATGGAACAATGGAAGTAAAAACTCAAGCATGTTTTAGTATCTCGATTATTGTTGTTGGCTTCATATCCGGCATCCATTACTGTTTAATTGGTCTTATTAGAAAGAGGCATGATTGCATTACAAATTCTACAAGGGCCTGTCAGGATGGCTTCATAAGTATTCCAGCGCCGTTCCTTGAAAAACATCTGGTAATCAGTGTTTGGTGAAATTACTGTGCTCAGCCATTCATTGACCTGAGGTGTAAAACCTCGAGACTGCCTATTTGCAACAATAAACTGCCATCTGCGGCCCAACCTCTCTAAGCACAGCAGAGATCACAATGCAAAAACGACTTCTGCTTACACTAAGTTGAGGCATGTGAAGCAGAAACAAAGCAGGAGAGTGAAAATGTGTGTGAGTTTGGTACCTCTATCTTAGCACTTAACGTGTCTGTTTCCTCAGTAATCGCAACCATCTTTTGGAAAAAGGGAATAAGCTTTCCCTGTATATGCAAAGTGCAGAACATAACAGAGCAATACAATTTTATAGTGGAATTGGCAAGGGACAACAATAAAACACGACATGACAGTCAATAATCAAGGTCACATTTTTCAGTCTGGCGACCAAACAACTACCTGCATTTTTACAGCGCTGCTCGACCTTGACGGCTCACGGGTTAGAGCAGACCCCCTTTTTAGCATGCAGATCACAGAATATTACATCAACGGCCTCATCTGTCTGAAGTCAATTTGATCCAGCCATTTTAGATTTGGCGGGGTTGCGACACAATCCCTCAAAAGTGCCCATCCATCTCTCTGAAAACATTCTGTGCTCCCTAAAGACTACTTAGTTAGAGCCTGCACTTTGAAGCTTTCTCTCTCCCACTGCAAGAGTGAGATCTTTGTGTGCACCCTTGTTTGGGTTATATGTCTGCATCTGAGTACACACTTATACTGCATGACCATTTGTGAGTTACGGAGAGAGAGAGAGCATAAGAGGGAGAGAGAGAGTGTGCACGCATCTGTATCCAGTCAGTGGAAAGTATGATGTGTTTGGCCTTAAGTCTGCTGTGCTGATCAGTGCAGAGGGCTCTGGTTAGTGGGGGTTGAAGCCAGGAGGAGGCTGCCGAGATGGATATGGACTCCAGGGCTCCCCACTGTGCCGAGCACACACTGACGGCCCCCTTTTGGCAGCACGCACATCCGAGCACAAACGAGCTGGTCTGGGACGGCAGTGAGGTCTCAGTCGGAACCCCCCGTTGAGCCCACAGACCATTTCCCAGACTAGAAGGCCAGCCAGGGCTGTTTTCTCTCGGCTATGCTCTCTGCTCGGCTGACAGTTAAGCTGAGGCTACACTACTCACTACATCAGCGGCAGTGAGGTGAGAACAAAACCATTACAAAACTAGGGAAAACACAGAAGTTCAGCATTGTGCTTTCTGGTGGTATCCTGGTGACAAGTAAACCTGCTACCCTCCCACACTATTTGGAGTTGAGCTTCAATTGCAATATTAGTTTTAATTTATTAGTACTAACAGTTTTAATGTGCATTTAATGGCATCAGCTGAATGGGAAGATGTGTAATGATGGGGGAAATATTTATCTTGAACTTCAGGTAAATTTGTACAATTACTTCTTGAAAGCAAGGGCATAGTGAAAGAGGATGAAAACGTTCCATGAATGAAGTGCAGCTGAAATGATCTTGAACCTTCAGTTTAGCAAGCTTTTTTGGAGCCTGATTCTGTGTCACAAGGCAACAATGTACCTAACACAAGCTGAGCTCTACTCTTGTCCGTATTAGTGACCACTATACCATTATTTACATAAATATATATAATATTAGTGTGTGTATAGTGATTTCTATACAGACATTATTATCTCTTTTATTGTCTAATTTGATTACCTGATTGGCTGCTTGGTTTGCCTCTGCCCTTTGGAGTAGAGGGCAACAGCAACTCTAGGCTCTGGGTAGGTGTTGAGGGCGTGGGGGCCTTCTGGTTCTTGTCCAGCAGGGGCTTCACATCCTCTTGGAGGACCCCAGGAGTCGCCAAGGGGGAACCTTCCTTTTTCTCTGCCAGCAGGTTTCCTGCTGCCCTGGCTGCCACCTCTTTGAGCAAGGCAGCAGAGGAGGTCATTGACACAAGTGAGAGAAAGGAACTTGCTGAGGCTTGGTGGTCAGTAGCAGCACTTGCCGTTGACGAAGCTTGGCTCCGCTCACTGACCTTCTTGGAAAGTGCAGCGAGGGTGGAGCTAGCTGACTGTGGGCTAAACGGAGAGTTGAAGGCATCAAAGCGCACGACTTCGTCTCCTCGGCCTGCCCCTCCGAGGGCGGGCACTGCAGATGAGGCCGAGGTGGACGAGGAGGAAGAAGTTGTTGAGGAGGCGGCCACGGCATTCTTGTCTTGAAGCACAGCATTTGCTGCTGCTTTCAACTTCTGGATTGCAGAGTCCGGGGACAGGCTGGAGCCGCAGGGTGTGGAGCAGCTGGCCGGTGGCCACTTATCTGCAACACCTGCCCATACAAACCCACTGCCGTTGCTAGGGGTGACAGAGTTAAAGGGGTCATGGGGCTCTTGCTTAATGTTGGTGCATGAGGGTGCCAAGGAGGCTGGTGAGGCTGAGCCGCTGTTGTTGTTGTTATTAGCCAGTTTTCGGGCAAGAGCACTTAACTGGTGGGCATGGTGGGAAGACGGGGAGAGGGTCAAGGGTGGGGCTAGACCGATTGGAGGAGACTCCCCTCCAGCACCCCCCCTGGATGACCGACCCAGGAGCTCCCCAGTGTCAAGTTTCAGCGACCCAGCCTCTAGGAGGCGTCGTAGGTTACTGCTGAGGGGTTTTCCCAGGGCTCGAGATGCTGCCTCGCCATACAGTGATGATACCACAGAGGAGAGTGTGTCCTGGGCCGAGAATGCACCTCCATCCAGTCCAAGAAGTTCCAAAGAGGCACGATGGACAGGTGTGGGGCAACCCAGTGAGCTCTCACCTCCACAGGTATCGTGGTCCCCAGACCCACTGCTGACTCCAGGTCGTTCATCAGGCGAGGAGCCCCTGGGCAGGAGGAGCTCATCCTGGGTGTCTCCATAAGACGACGACTCTGATCGTGTGTCAGAAGCATTCCCAAACCAGGCCTCCTCCTCCACAGCACCGCCATCAGGCGCCCCTTCCTCATTGCTGTCCACATCTGGAAGCAGAGTGAAAACATACAAGTTACCTCAAGGGAACAGAAATAAATGCTGTGTAAGTACTGTAACAAAGATACCACCATGTTGCTCTCGTGGACAGTTAGACTAGGCATAATCTTTGAGCTAAAAACTTGACAAAGAGTTGTTAACATCAAACACTTATTACTAAGAGTTAAGTAGAGGGCATAGTCATAGCCTCTGGCTGACTGCAGACGGCTTTCAACACTGGAAATTAGTATTTACTATTCACTTTTATTATTTCCCATGTTTGCTTGTCTGATCTTTCAGAGCAATTAGTGATCTGTACCATGTGGAACCCTAACTGGGACTACAATTTTCAACATTCATAACACAATTACCTGCCCAAACCCAAATCAAATAGCCATTTAAAGTGCAAAAATACACTTCAGTGCTCAGCAAGGACACGACTAAAATGACTTCCACCACAAATTCAACCTCTTTCTTATATAATGGCAGCTTTCCACATGGCGCATCCAGGATGTTTGAGTAATTTAGATTTTTCTGTCCTTTTTTAACAATATTTTTCCCACCCTTGGTCTAAAAGAGTCTAGTAAAGGGGTTACCATGACAACAGGTCCTTCTGGGAGGCTAGACAGCAAAGATTAGGGTAATGGAGGTTACAGAACTAGATTAATATTCATGAGCCTGCAGATACCACCGGGGAGCCAATAAGGATAGGGTTAAGGTCACCAAGGGTCATTAATATACACTTCATGTATCAATATTCATAAGCAAAACATTACAGCTTGCCAGACAAGGGCGAACAAAGAAAAGTGAATATTCCTGATACATATTAACAAACCTCCATAAGAATATGTCAAAAGCACCAGGCCTGGGCAAAACAAAATGTCAAAACTGACTTTTTTCTTTTCTCCTCTTTGGGTTACTGTACACAGCCTCACAAAACATCTGATAAAAAGGAATTGGCTGAGATTTCGGAGAAAACTAGGCACTCGTACAGTGGCAAAAACATGAAGCTATGAAAGAATTATTTAAAATGTCTCACACACCAACATACGTCTTCACCCTCACGACCCTGACAGAGGCCTAGTGGGTCTGCTCCGTGTTTACAGGCAAAGGCAAAACGGTTGCCAGGCAACCCAGCCCAGCAACCTGTTGGGATCATTAGAGTTGGCTGACATCTGGCCAGCGCAGCTCACCGTGGTCCACAAAGGTGACCACAATCACAACACACTATGACCGCTACTCTTCTGCTGCAACAGATATCAAACAGGGCTTACACACTTCCCAATATCCTCTCATCTCTCAACACATACACACTTCCATCTAACGTATTACAGAAACACACTAACACTGACAGAAAATGCCAGGTGCTCAAAACCAATGCAACAGATTATGTCATAATATTGGCCCTAGGGCTTTCAAAACTAGCCCATGTATAATACACTTCACATAAACAAACAAGATTCAAGAGACTAATACACAGCATGCATGACCCTTCTCATTTTTAATACTTTTCTAAAGGTGAATGAAAACACCAAAATGTGAAGATTGTGAACCCAATTTCCCATGCTCCTTGAAGCCATTTTGCCACCTGAGTAGGGTTAACAGGAATGAAAGAGAGGGAGAGGGAGAAAGCGCCAATGAGTCATGCAGGGCAGGGCTTGACCCATTTCCATGTGACATGCGAAAAGCAGCAAGAACCACTAATGGCTATAATGTGGTTAGAGGGAAATCGCTAGATTGCTGACCCAAGGTCTCAGCTTTGAGGCTGAACTCTCATGCTTCCTAGGTTCAATCTTAAACCTCAGGGTTAGATGTAGCAGAATGCAACACTACACCATAAGGCTTCTGCCAGTGCTACATTGCACTGATGCACTCCACTACCATGGCTTTGTGTGTCACAGACGAACCACCCCTGTGGGCGGAATGACATTTCCCAAGGTCATGGTCTCCGGCCCGAGCTCTAAGGGGGCTTCATCTGAGCTCTGTCCTCACGACTGCTGCTGTATGCCTACCACACGCGTGGCGACAAACATATGCATGTGCATACATGTTTAAACTACAAACACACAGCCAAGAATATAATTAATGCTTAAGTCTTCCCCCACTGCAATTTTTTTCTGACACACATTCTACTGCTTTGCCTCCGGTACAGTGGCTGGCTCAGCGACAGTAACTATAACCCCCCCCAAGTGATGGAGGCACGAAGATCCAGGCCGAGGCGGCAAGCGTCTGCCACTGAAAGGGAACCATTTAGCGGTGTAATGGCGGGGATGACTTGCATGTTGAGACAAACAGCTGCGGGGTGCTCAGCAGTCTGGATCTGTTATCACTCACACACGAGTGATTCAGTGGTGCAGCGGCAGGGGATTTTCTCTCCGGGCCACAGAGATGTATAGCGCCACCACATTATAGACAAAGAGGGAGCCATAACAAGTTAAAGTGCAGGCTGAGGCTGCATAGAGAGAGGACCAAAAGACTGGCTAGAATAAACTGTCCTGAGCTTGACCAGAGATGTACACTGAGCAGCTAAAACTATTTTGATGTTGCACCTCTGCAACTTACAGTCTTTGGACATCTATTTGTTGGTGTAACCTGTCACAAAAAAAACAGACAGTGAGCTCACAGCCTGTAACTACAGCTGAAAACAGTTGGATATTTCAGGTAGTAGACTTGTTCATTGTTTCACCATGCAGTGCTGTCAACAATCTCCATTTGTGAACTTGGCAGGATTATTTTGGCCATGGTTTTTCTAGGTCAGCGAGGGGTACACGTGTGTGTGCGTGCATGCACATACAAGTACAGTACAGGAGTCAGCGAGACTTCACCTAACCTTGTCACACAGAATGATTGCTGGTAAAGGGAATAGTGCGAATTAGAGAAGGGAGAGAAGAGCAAGGGACTGGAGTAAAGGTAGGTCAGGAGGTCACCCACCACATGACTTGTGTGAGGCTGCTGACTAACATATTCCCTCTCTCTCTCTCTCACTGTCTCTCTCACACACACACACAGACACACACAGACACACACACACACACACACACACACACACACACACACACACACACAAAGCTACTCTGTGACTTAGCCAGGCATGAAAATTGGCCTCGCTGACCCCAGGCCTGAACAGGGTAGGGGGAGAGGAGACGGGAGGGTGAAGGAAAGAAGGGAGAGATAGAGGGATGGTTAAGGGAGGGGCTGATTTGGCTGGGCAGGAAAGAAGAGGAGGCCATTAGCCGATTAAGGCTGGACGGGGGTGCATCAATACTGTGCCGATGTCAAAAGGAGAGTCATGCCCATGAGCTAATATAGCAATGAGAGAGAGGGAGCGGGAGATAGAGAGAGAGGTAGTGCAGGTCAGGGAATCACTAAAATCGCAAAGATTACTGACCGCAAAGCCATAAAAAAAATGAGATAACATAAAAGACTGCCACAACATACCAAGACTAAAGCCATCACATTTACATCACCAAAATGATTAGCCTCACATCTTTCCTGCCATGACTAGGAGCGTGTGATGGTACTGTGTGTCCATGTGTGTGTGTTTCGGGCTGGGTTAAGGAGGCAGAGCAGGGGTGAGGACATAGGAAGGAAGGCAGTGAGTATAGATGTGGTGAAGAAGGAGCCGCGGCGGTAATTAAGTGTCCGGCTGGGCCCTGGCGGGGGTTGCCACGGCCGCGGGCTATGCTAATGAGCACGCCCGGCAGTCAGGGCTGCCTTATTAGTGCTTGCTGGACAATATGGTGGGAGAGACGCTCTACTGGCGGGCTCACGTCTCTGCAAATGACTAACAGTCCTCCCGAGGAGGAAGGTAATTCCGTTAATTGGGACACACTGGATCAGGATCGCTTCCCTTCCTTTTTCCATAATCTCTCATTTGCTTGATCTCTTTCACACCAGCGTGCTCTCTTTTCTTCTTGTACATGTTCCCCTTCATCCCATCCCCTCTTTCTCCCATCTCCATAACGAGGAGGACAAATATCAAAAATAAAGAAATAATTAAAACACAGATGCTCTAAATAAATCCAGCTGGATGTGTGGGAGCTAGCATACATATATCACACCCCCCTTCAAATGAATTTATGCACCATCAATCTGTTAAATGCTGCTGTTCTTTTGCAGTAGCAACATGATAATTGCTCCAAAGTTTATCCATCACAATCACGTTATTTCCCAAAGGAAGTTGATGAAACATGACAACCAACAAGGGAATGGATAAGACGTGATCACTGAGGCAAAGTGTCATACAATGGAGCACCTAACTTGTACCCTATGTTGGGCAGTAACACCACTTTCTTTTATATTAACCCAGTCATTTGAAGTGTTCATTAGATCAACGGTACTCTTAATAGGAGTACTTATCATATACAGACATATATGTAGTCAGTTATAAAGAGGCGATCAAGGCCTTTACTTTCAGTGACTTGAAAAACTGACACCTATTTTTCTTCCACGCAAGAGTAAGCTAAACCATTAAACATCTGTCTAGCGATTAATTATGTTGACACAATGTCAAGATCCAGGGGGGAAAAAAATCCTCCGCGTATTGATCAAGGTTCATGTTAGATATTCAAACATTATAGAAACTCAGAATCGACTCCTCCATTTCATCTTCAGCTCTCTCTGTTATCCTGTCCAACTGGAAGTCTGTGACAAAGACATAAAGAGCCCATCTTTTAGTTGGAATCTGAGGTGAGGTGATACTCTCAGTGAGGATCAAGGTTCAGGCAGCAGGGCTATATATAATGGCGGCTGAGTCGTATTGAAATGTAGTGCAAATTACCATCTGTGTATTTTCGGCCTTGGCCTCCGTGGTTTGTGGGTACTTTGGGCGGCATGCCAGAGGTGAAACAGGAAGGAGAAGTGTTCTTGGAAGAGAATGAGACGACTGAGAGCCCCAGACCTCTGAAATTCCTCATTGCAGATGAAGTGCACTTTACCCCCTGGTTTATTTTTCCCTTCCATTTTTAGCATCTCATGTTAAAAAAAAAAAAATCTTGCTCATAACCTCAGA